GGCCCACCGATGTAATTCGAAAGCAATGGCCTCGACCAGGCAAATGGAATGGAAAGAGAAAAGAAGAATGTTTACGGTGAATCTTTTTCATAAAAGAGAAAATCTGTTACCATAGAGAGTGTTCACCATGTGAGATCTCTAGTTTCGATATTGTGGAACAATCCAAAAAATACAAAACTAGGAGCTTTGTAAGTCTAGGTTTTTAGAAAACTTTTCTTAAGATATTGTAATATTGGCTAAGAAGATTATTCTGGACTCCCTAAGTGTAGTAATTGACTGAGTGGATATTTGTTATTTTAAATTTTATATATTTTTTCAAAGTCATAAAATTCATCCAAATAGAATCTGGATTGATGGAAAATTCCGATAGTAAACAGATCCAAATACCTCGACTCCACAATAAATGAACAGATATCCAAAATGTATGATCGCAAATAGATATTTCTTCCTTTTAAGGATACCGAAATTCTTAATTAGGGTGTACAATGCTGCAATAACGCTAGAGTTGGTATAGCTGTCCTTGGAAGCACTCAAGAGGATGTTGAAAGATTTACTAATGCTCTAATAAGAGAAATTGGCCTACAATTGAATGAAAATAAAACCAAATATATTGGTAAAAAATCGAATACTTGATGGTTGACTGTGGTATATTATTGAGTAAAGAGATAGTCCGGGGTGGCGGTCATAAAAAAAATAAAATAAAATAGTGAAAAACCTATTTTATTTGAAGCCAACGTTTCTACCCGACTTTGCAGGTCTTCTTTAGGGCTATAATGATCAAGATACAAAAGAATATAGAAAATTGTGAAAGTTACATAAAATTTAGACAAACATTATGAGCAATGTGAATAAACTTATTGAAGTTATAAATGATTTGAATAGAGATATTAAGAACAATGAACTATGTAAACAGACTATAACTAAGTAAGAAGATCCTAAACTGAAGTTAATAAATGGTAACAATAGTAGATAGGAAGAAATTGAATGTAATACATATATTACATTCAATTTTTCCCTATATACATTTGTTACCATTTATTTACTTCAGTTTCTTTTTACTTAGTTATACTTCGTTTATAGGGAGCGGGGTAGTTCAGTAGTAGGGCACTGAGCTTCCAATGCAAAGGTCCCGAGTTCGAACCCTGGCTCATGACAGAAAATTTATTTATCTGTTTCATTGGCCGTGGGGCGACCTTGGGTCAGAAGTCCCTCCTGGGGCACACCCAGCCTCTATAAAGTGGGTACCCTTAATTAAATAATTGATTAAGGGGGGAAACCTGGCGGTTGAGCGTGATCTCGGTCAAATCACCTCCTTGCACAACCGTTGACCTAGAAACAGTGGTTTCCCTAAATAGTACTGAACCCCAGACCCTTCAGGGGTTGTAGTGGTACAGGTTTTTTTTTTTTTTTATACTTCGTTTATATAGTTTATTCTTCTTAAAATTTTTATGTACTTTGTATTCACACTATTTTTAATTTTAATAAGTTTATTCACATTGTTACAATTTTCATCTAAATATCATGTAACTTCCACAGTTTTCTATATCCTTTTGTATCTTGTTCGTTCTAGCCCTGAAGAAGACCTGCGAAGTCGTATGTTGGCTTTAAATAAAATATAATTTCACAATCCTAGTCTTTCTATGACAGCCAATTCTGATGTATCTCGTTCTGCCATAAATACTGTTACAAAAAACTTTGTTTACATCTTTGGATATTATCTCGAATCCCGGCTCATGGCAGAAAAATTATTTATTCTGATTCATTGGCCGTTAGGCGACCCTGGGTAGGTAGACCCTTCTGGGGTACGCCCAACCTCTATAGAGTAGGTACCCTTAATTAAAATAATTAATTAAGGGGAAAAACCTGGTGGTTGAGTGTGATCTCGGTCAAATCACCTCCTTGCACAACCGTAGACCAAGAAACTGTGTCCCTAAATAGTACTGAACCCAAGACCCTTCATGGGTTGTTGTGGCACAGATTTTTTTCCCTCTATCTATCTGAGACCCTATCTGTATGTGACAGACCTCAACCATCTCCGCACTGTGAGAGCAGTGGCTGCTCGAATCAGAAGAAATCCCATTCGAAAACAACAAATCATGTGTCGGCAAATGGGAATCTCTTTCAGATCAATGTCTCTCATGATAAAAAGTGACCTTAGGATGGGCACATTTCGAAGAATAACAGGACAAAGGCTAACCACTTCCCTAAAAAAATTAGAGTGGATATATGCAAAGTGCTCCTTGATCGTTACACCAATGGTCTTCATCGGAATATTTTGTTAAGCGATGAGACAATTTTTACAATTGAAGAAAAATTTAATCGCCAAAATGATTGTGTTTACGCACACAGCTCTTAAAGAAGTCCAGGAAGTCATTGGAAGAGTGGGAAGATCTCATCACCCTTCCTCAGTGATGGTTTGGTGGAGAGTTTGCTTTAATGGCACCACAAAGCTCCATTTTTATGAAAAAGAAGTTAACAGCGCTAAAACTAAGGACATATTGGACTGTGCAAGCTCTGATGATCTGTTGCTGGAAGTCATTGGGTTTTCCAGCAGGATTCCGCTCCAGCTCACAAGCCAGATCAACTCAGCAGTGGCTGCAAAAGAGCATTCCGGAGTTCATCTCTGCCTCGAATTGGCCCTCAGAAATCCCTGATCTGAAATCACTAGATTATCGGCTTTGTTCCGAACTGCAGAGGATGGTATGTCACAGAGCACCACACCCTAACTTGGAAAGCCTCAATCTCTGGTCCGAGCAGTTGAGCGGTTTCCTCAAAAAGTGATGCGTGCTGCTATTGATGATTGGCCACGGAGATTAAGTGCCTGTGTTAAGGCAAAAGGGGAACAATTTGAGTAATTTCTTCTTTTTTTTTTACTCTATAGATATACATTTTATTTTCTAATAAAGTTTTTGAAAAAATTATTTTTTCTGTTGAAATCTGTATATATTTCCTTGTAACAATATTTATGACAGGACCAGGTACAGCTACAAGATCTGGAAATTCTCTAACTTACACCCTAGGGTGAATTAAAAGATTTGAGAGGAAAATTTTTTGTACAGTAACGAGCAATATGGTATCAGAGTATTAATGCATGGAAGGAACAGGAACTTTAAAGATGTTTAAACTTTAAACTTAAAAAACAAGAACTTAATTACTTACAGAAACTGGTCAGTTAATATGTCATTCTCATGGTATGAAGGTGAGGATATTAAGATTAAAGGAATATGTATCTCAAAGCAATCCATCAAGAACATTTAAACAACATCGAATGCATCAATAGCTGGAAAGAGACAACGTGGAATGCAAAAATCCAGATGGATAAAACAAAATCAACAAATATGCTACAGAAATTCATGTAACAAAGCGGGGAAATTAGTAGCTCAAGATAGGCAGAGATGAATAAAGCCAGTTCAGATGTCCAAAGACGTAAAAGGTATGTACAGCCAACAGAAAAAAATATATTTATTTTTTTATATATTCTGATCTTTATTTATTTTTTAATCTAAGTTGATTGTCATGTGTAATGTAACGTAAAAATAAAATTTATTTTAAATTTTGCTTTAAATGAAGAGGGTCATTACAAAAAGACTAGTCTGGAAAGTGCTGAGCACTATAGTGTCCTAGACTAATTACTATGCAGTAGGCTCCTGGAGATGCCAACTTTATTAATAATAAAATATTAATAGTTTTTAAAAAATACATGTTATTTATAATAAAAAACTGTTACTCTGTTAGATTTGATTTTCTCATCTTCCTTGCTTGAGATTATTTTAAAAAAAGAAAAGAAAATGTGTGGCATTTACTCTTTGGCGGTTTTGAGGTTGTCAGTTGTCAGGACTGTATATTGTGAATTACAGGTTTTATTTGATTTAAACAAAATTATAACAATTTATATACTACCTCAATTAAAACCATAGAAGGATTACCTTGTTATGAAGTGATAAGGTTTACGGGATGGAATGGTGATTGAATTAGAGTACAGAAATGTATATAATACTTCTAATAACAAGGTAATATTTCTTTTATTAAGCAGAAGATTAATGTTTTATCAAATTGTGTAAATATTAGGGTAATTAAACATTTTTTTTAGATAGGCAGTCTTATTGTAAGGGATTAGAACTGGAGTAATTAGAAAAAGAAAAAAAAACATGGAGGGCCCATTTCCAGATATAATAACCATCTTAAGTTGGAGTTTAGTTATTTTTATATTTTAAAGATTCAAGTCGGTACAGTACCTGTAGAGTCAGATACATATTTTTTTCGTCTTAGGATGTATATTGAGAGAGATATTTCATTTTTTTATGTTATAAAAGGAGTTTCAGGGTTAAGTGGCCAAACTGAAAAAATGAACTAAGGACCTCAAAACAAGAACAAATTTCCTCTGAAGGTATATCTGCAAACGTTTTGTTTAGGAGATATTCACACCTAAAGATTTTCGTTGTTATGAATTATTTACGTTATATGAAATTTATTTGTTCTAACTACTTTATTAATTAAATGTAAACATTAACATTCATATTAAATGTTTTTCAAAGCGAAGGTACGTCCTCAAATGCTTTGTTTAGGAGATAGATTAGATGGAATACTAATATGGCCTAAATAATTCATAAGAATGAAAATCTTTAGGAGTGAATATCATCTAAACAAAGCATTTGCAGACATACCTTCAGAGGAAATTTTTTTTTTTTTTGAGGTCCTTAGTTCATATTTTCAGTTTGGCCACATAATCCTGAAACACCCTGTATATAAATATATATTTACTTTATGTTGATTTAGAAATTGTTTAGACCATTTTTTTTTATAAATTTGTGAACTGGACCAAACCAAAGCACTCATAGGATAGAAGAGATAGGAAAAAGAAATAAAAACTGTTAAGGTAAATATAAAAAATGGTACAGTACACTACAGCAGATATTTGTAATTTTAACATTTGATTTTTTTTTTTTTTACAAGTCTTAAAGTGTATTAAGTTCACGAGAAAAGACCAATTTTTATATGTTTGAAATTATGGTGCTCAGCTAGTACTTATATAATATTGAGAAACACAAATATCAGCTAAAAGGAAAATAGAGGACTTTTAACTATAAAAAAAAAATCAGATTTATGTTTTTATAAAAATCATTTAATCAAAAATCAACAACAGGGTTCATTTTCATTTCTCTCATTTTGTTCACTTTACTGCTCTTTCCGATTCCTAGTTTTGGTAATCCTTTATTGAGCCCTTCCAGAAGAACGCAAGCTTTGCAAACTTTTTGACTAGAAACAAAACCGCAGCGTTCACAAACACCACGTTCTCTCGTCCCAACATTTTCCTTCACTCTTAAAACTTCTCCTGGAACACATGGAAAAAAAATGAATTAACTGAATTAATATCTTTAAAAAAATGTACAAAGGTTACATCATAAGCCACAAAAGTAAGTTTCATTGTGTGAGCCCTCGATCATCAAAAAGCCTAATAAGTGAGTAAACTATCTATTTTTCAATATAAAGGTAAAATATACCCAGCATTTGTTTACACTTAAATACTTTGAGCTAATTTACATAACAAATATTTACTTGTTTTCATACTTCTATTTTTCAGGAAACAAGATGAAATGAAAATTAAGAGATGAATTGTTCTAGAACAAAAATTAAGAGAGCTATCATAAGGATGAGAGCCACGCCATTGTAAATAAATTGAGTACCTGATATTGGTTAGAATACCATAATTTGTTATTATAATTTTGATATAAAAAGAAATAAAACTCATGTAAAAATATAATAAAAAAATTATTTTATTTTATTGAATAAAAAAATATTACACAAATAATTCTATCCATCCTGGGGGAATGTATTTGTATATCATATCAAACATCTTGATAGATTGTTGGGAAAATTTATATCTAAGAATATTTAAAATTAGTGTAGTAGTCGGGTGTCTGTAACTACACATTGTGGATAGTATAACATTTTGAGGTTTCTTATGAGGCATATGACTACTGCACCAGGTTTAAATGTTCGTAAACATCAAATTTCCTGTGATTAGTCCAAGATCTTTTAACAGATATGCATGTATATTTAATAGGATGTATAAAAAAAAAGACTGTTTTTCAACCATATATTTGTATTATTATTTCTTTGATAGAAAATAAAATTAATACTCAAATCATAATCTATTGTTATCTACCTTCATTAGCCCTTTGTTAGCCAATTACTCGATCCCACACAGATATCATTCTTTGGGATGGCTGTCAAAGATCTCTTGGACCACAATTTCAACTTCAACAAAATTATCAATTTTTTCTCTCGAAGGAAACAAGCCATGGATCTAAATAAGTAGTAATCCAATGGTGCAAGGCCTGGAGGAGGAGTTCGAGCCCACAATGTAGGGAAGTGTGAGGATGAGCATTATCTTGTTAGAATAAAAATCCCTTTCGGTTGATCAGAGCAGGATAACGCTCTGTCAACTTCGCTTACACCATTTTCAGTTGTTCGTAGTAGAGTTCAGAATTCATAGAGCATCCGTCAGGAACGAATTTGTGATGAATAACACCTTAAAAATTCCGAAAAACGCAAAGCATTGATTTTTTTCCAAATTGCCCCCTTGCAGCAACCAAAAAAGCAGCTTGACCATGATCTAGCCATTGCTCACGGGTATTTGGACTTCGCCAGTAAACCCACTTTTCATCACAAGTGACAATATTAAGGTAAAATCTCATATTAGAAGGGTTTTTCAATAAATTTACACAAATTTCTAACCTCTTAGATGATTGCTGGGGAGTAAGTTCATGAGGAGCCAGCCTACTGCTCTTTTCCATGTTCCTCATGGATAGTAGATGGCGACTAACAGTATCTTTCGACACACCACCCTCCCTGGGAAGTTCGCAAGTACTTGTGGACTCAACAGCTTCCTACAGAACCTCATCAATATCCATTAATGGTTTCCCGGAGCCCTTCTTCCTTTCCAAAGTCGTGTCTCCACTGCTAAATTTTTCAAACCAATGCGGCACAGTGCACTGTTCAAGGACCACTCCTTCATATTTAATAATTTCTTAAATTGCTTCAGCAGCTGTCAAATTTTTTTCCAGTAATGCTTTAATATTACGAGAATTTCAAAGGACACTTTAATGTTTCTTCTTTCAAACAAATAATTAAACTGAGGATTTTTTTGAAGAAGAATACTCTAAAGGGATTATTAAGTATTAAATAGGATAAAAATATTTACAGTCCTATGAAATCTTGAATTTGATAAAACAGTCTTTTTTTTATATATACAGCCTATTACAAAAGACATGTACGGAGTTATTTCCATAATTGTTTTTAATATATTTTTTACATGAGTTTTATTTCTTTTAATGATTTTCTTCTTCGATAGCTCTACAACTCATTGGAGAGCCAGGGTAAATATAATGTTATATTATATTGTAAATATGCCCAAATAAATATACTTATTTATTTTTACATTTTTTTTTACTGATTACCTCAACCAATCTTCTCTTCAATAATTATTATATTTGATTTTTAATTTAAAAGCCATGCCTGATTTATAAATAAAAATTCAAATCAATCTTTGCTGTTTCTTTATTCAATTAAAAATAATGATCACTCTCTGAGTGATACGGTTTAACATAAATACTAATGATTAAATTGTGATAGAAAAACTTTTGTTCACAAAATAAAAATCACCATTTACACAAAAATTGAATAAAATATCAATAAGTATGTACATATTATTAATGTACACATTTTTTAATATTATATTTCTGAAATATATATATATATATATATATATTATTTTTTGTTAGCTAAAATTTCTAATTAATTTTGGGAATAAATATGTTCTGTTGCTAATAGTTGACAAAAATATTCTCCATCTACTACTCCAGACTTAAAATATATCATAGAGATTACCAAAAATTTATCTGATTAAAAAAATATTACTCAAGAATTATTATTATTGTTAATTGCAAAAATAATGATCAGGATATGATTTTTATCACATATGATCAAAAATAAAAATCATCAAATGATTTTTAAAAACCCAAGATAAAAATTTTGATCTGATTAGATTTTTTATTATTTAATTATCGATTTTAAACCAAACCTGGCTTTGAGTATTCAAGAAAAAAAATTATGGTCCTTTTATTGGTTAAAACAGCTCATTGTTTGATGATGTATGTAAAAACTAATGTAATGACAAACTTATGATTATAGTTTTTGAGAATGTAATCCCCTAGATATAAAGATATCCTGTTTTACATTAACCAAAATTATAATAAATCTTTTTTTTTATTTTTAATTGAATCCATACCTGAATGAATAATGTCAATTATTGCAGTCGGGCGAATTTTTTCCAAATCTTTCAAGAAGGCTCTTGCATAGCCGCGATAGGCATTAGGAGAATATATACATTCGGTAGAAAAATATACAAGCTGTTTAAAATAGGCATACATCACAATTTCTTTTTCGTATGCGTATTTTAATGGTTTAACACGCGGTATCGCTCCTTCACTGGCCTATTAAAAAAAATAAAATATTAATATTTCCTCTTTACATAAATATAGTTGAACCAGTATATCGAACGTTAAGGTTTCTTAAAAAAAATTTATATAAACAGAAAAAAAGATTGTGAATTTTCTATTTTTGTAATAATATCAAAATGGAAAAATATTGTGTCTTTTATGATAAAACATGTTTTTTATCCCATTTTTTATAATAATAATAATAATAATAAGGCTTAGCGAACCCGAAGGTTCGATGCCGACACCACCAATCGCTTGTTACACACCTCCCTCCACCGTTCGCCGTCCAAACCCAGTCCCTTCAGATCAGCTTTAATGCAATCTTCCCACCTTCGCTTCGGTCTACCCCTCCGACGCTTACCATTCGGCACAGCAAATATTAACCTTTTAGGAATTCTCTCGTTACTAAGACCAACAACTTTACAAGCCCATTTGATTCGCCGCGATGAAATTACCTCAATTATATTACCCGGATATAGCTCACGCAATTCGGCGTTGTGTAACCGTCTGAACTCTCCGGTTAACTCATCCTTCTTCGGTCCGAATATTCTACGCAATACTTTATTTTCAAAAACCTTAAGACGCTGCTCATCCCTTAATGTAAGCGGCCAAGTTTCGCATCCATAAAGAACTGTAGGCAAGATAATTGTTTTATAGATTCTAATTTTTAAGTTTCGGGACAAGAGGCGCGAACTGAGTAGTTTTGTCACAGAAAAATAACAAGCATTCCCCGCCTTCAGTCTAACTTTAATCTCTTCTTCAATTTCGTTTTTTCTAGTTATCGTAGAACCTAAATACCTAAATTTATCTACCTGTTCAAACATATTACCATCTATATCGATATCACCAGTAGTATCGCCATTTTTGCAGCTAACCATATATTTTGTTTTATCCACGTTTATTTCGAGTCCTAGTTCTTTACCGGCTTTCATTAACGTTGTCGTATTTAGTTTTATAGTTTCAACGTCTTCGCTTAACAGTACCAGATCATCAGCATAGCCCAGCACGGATGTTGTCCCACCCAGATCCAACCCTTTTTCGGTACGCATTACCTCCCTAATGGCATGTTCTAATGCCAAATTGAACAGGACAGGCGAAAGAGAATCCCCCTGTTTTAAGCCCGAACGAACCTCAAATTTTTCGGACAAATTATTACCGATTCTAACTTTATTGACTGTCTCCGTCAAGCACATCCTGACTAGATTTACTAGTTTTTTTGGAATTCCCTGCTCGATTAGAATATTATACAGTTTCTGGCGGTCAATAGAATCGTAAGCCTTTTTAAAATCTATATACAGCTGGTGAACAATACCGTTATACTCCAATTTTTTCTCTAATATTTGCCGTAAAGAAAATATTTGATCAATAGTCGAACGATTCCGTCTAAATCCGCATTGGTAGTCTCCGATAATTTCCTCGGCGTATTCCGTGATTCGACTGGTTAAGATTACAGTGAATATTTTATAACATACCGGAAGGAGTGAAATTCCTCGATAGTTATTACAATCCGTCCTCGGACCCTTTTTGTGAATCGGAATAAGAATAGATTCTTTCCATTCTTCAGGTAATTTCTCGTTCACCCAGATCTTTTCAACCAACCGATGTATTTTAGAAACTCCAGCTTCCCCGCATGCCTTAATTAGTTCAGTAGGAATATTATCGATTCCCGCTGCTTTATATGATTTTAATTTACCGATAGCTACTTCAACTTCCTCTTTACTTGGTCCTTCTATCAACGGTTCAGCACTCTGGAACTCAGAAGGAGGACACAGATCATAATTTCCCGTATTTAAAATATTGTCAAAGTGCTCCTTAAACTTATTCAATATGTCAACCGGATCGGTCAGAATATTGTTATTATCATCCCTAATTCCAGACGTTACGGGCCCTACATATTTACGTGATCTGTTTATACCTTTGTACATGTCTCTTACGTTATTTTCGATTCTATTAGTTTCTATTTCAATTATTTTATTTTTAAGATACTCCCTTTTTTTATTTTTGAGCAATTTTGTCGTTTCGTTCTTTGAGATTCGGAAGTATTCCAGATTGTCTTCGCTAGGATTATTTAGAGCTTTTAATTTAGCGGCTTTCCTTTTTTCGCACATGTTTAAGCAATCTTCATCAAACCACGGTTTGTTATTCTTATTTTCCTTTTTTCCTAGACACGAGTTACCGACCGCTTTAATATTATCCCTGATCTCTACCCATAACTTGTCAATATCCTCGTGGTCCTCGTCAGGAAGCTCTAAAGCTTCAAACCTATTCTTAACATCTAGCTCGAATTGGTTTCTAATTGATGGATTTTTTAATTTTTCCAAATTAAAATTCTCAAAATCGAAACGGTTTTCTTTTCTCTTTTTTATATTAAGTTTTTGTCGAAGTTTCGCGATTACTAATTCATGATCCGACCCACATTCTGCTCCGCGATAAGACCGTACATTGATTATACTGCTTTGCCAGCTGTGTTGTATCAAGACATGATCGATTTGATTTCGTGTTTGCGAATCCGGCGATGTCCAAGTATATTTATGAATATCCTTACGTTTAAACGTCGTACTTTTAATTACCAGGTTTTTCGAGATGGCAAAGTTTATCAGACGGATCCCATTATCATTACTATATTCGTGCAAACTTTCTTTACCAATCGTCTGAATATAAACTTCTTCCCTTCCTACCTTTGCGTTCGCGTCACCTACAATTATTTTCATGTAGTTTCGCGGTAGTTTATCATAAACCCATTCGAGTTTATCGTAAAATTCACTTTTGACTTCATCGTCACTGTCTTCGGTCGGACAATGTATGTTTATTAATGCGATTTTAAACCAACGTCCCTGAAATGTAGCTACCGAAATTCTATCACTAAAGAATTGTACGTCCCTCAAAGCGGATAGTAATCTACTCCTAATTAGAAACCCGGTACCTAAACAATGATTCCCGCTTCCTCCGTACCAAATAGTGTACTTTCCTTCCCTCATCGAGCCCTCCCCTGGCCAGCGAACCTCTTGCAGAGCCACGACATCCAAATTGTACCCATTTACCTCATTCGCGACCGATTTTAGCCCCCCTGCTGTGTTTAAACTCCTTACGTTCCACGTACCAATATTTAAATCCCTATATTTCAACTTGCGGCATGAATCCCCTAAAGCAGTCCCCACCCGGAGACCCGAACGGGGGACTAGTTTACCTCCGGATAATGAGCGTTTTACCTTAGGGAGATCCATGACTTTTTGTGGTGTTTGGTGAACTAAAGATATGTGAGTAGGGCGTTCAATCCTACGTCACACCCTCCAGCAAGTCTGGTGGGCCCCTACCTCCAGCAAGTCTGGAGGTCCCCTCCCTCCAGCAAGTCTGGAGGGCCCCTCTCATTGTTGGTCAGCGAGTCCATCGGACTTAGCCGGGAGGAACTTCCAAGGAATTTCCACCGACCATCCCCACATCCGCCACCCGTGGGACGCTCCCCATACGCGGTAATGAGCCCGCGCGAGGCATGAGCTCATGTCACTTATCCCATTTTTTATACTAATAAATATTCAAGATCCCCCTAAAATAAGTTCACATATGGAAGTTCGATATACAAAATTTCAACTAAACTTAACAGATAATGAAATATATAGCTTTTACAGCAAGGTAGGGAAAACGCACAAGTTATAGACAGAGGGTCCAGTTATGGACAGATTGGACTTTAAAGATAAATAATAAGCTTCCTTGTTGACTTGAAGGTTGCAGTTTTTTTTCTATAAATATGACATTTGTTTTTGCCAATTTCAATTTCCATAAATATGAATAGGAAGATAGGGATTATAGAGTGCCCTATCAGAGTTCAGGTTATAAACATTGGCAGATAGCAGTCCTTATTGAAGAACAATGCCCTCTATTGTATATAGACAACTGTATGGACAAAGTTCTCAAAAGAAAATTTTAAAATGGCTATCATTGCAGTTTCAATAGTGCTCTTGAGATCAGTGTGTTTCATACCTCCCTACTAACAGTTTTGCTGAGAGTAAGTTGAACATTTATGTTATCTTATCTTTATCGTTATCATTATAGTTAAATAAAAGTTTATAACTACAATAGTTACGGCTACTTAAGTCAAAAAAGAGAAAAATTTCCTTTGCTATGTCCATCACTGGTGTGCTTTTACCCCAGTTGAAATCATAAATTAATATACTAAATACATAAATAATTATTACAGTTGCCACATCGGTACATCTCTGAAGCCTTGCTATATCACCTCTTAAAACATTCATGATTACAGTTTCTGCTATATCGTCAGCGTTATGACCTGTAGCGAGAACGTCCACCCCTAACTGGGCAGCACCTCTATCTAAAGCCTGGCGCCTGAAAACACCACAGAATGTGCAATTATTCTTTTTTCCAATCTGAAAAAGAGGCAGATAGAATTTATGAAAGTGTGGCTGGTCTTACACGAAAAGAAAAAATGTACCTTTAAATAGTTTTTAATAATTATTTTAATAAATAAGTTATTCATTTAAATGAAAAAGCCTGGTGTTTCTCATGATAACTGTAATATAGAAGAACTAAACAATAAAATTCATCAAATTAATAGATAACTTAAATGTGATGTTATATACCAATTGGATATTATTTACTATATTCAAAATTTCTTTTTGACTCAGCAAAATAAAGTGTTCCAACCAATACCTCTTTAACAATGGAATCCATTGTCCAACCATACAACTCTTCATAGGAAAGTACTTTTAATGCCATTTTATAATCATCTCTATTTTGCTTTACTGTGTCCAAGCTGTCATCTCTGTATCCTGAAATATCAAAAAATATATCTTGAAAATGTCACTTAGAATGATTGGACATTGGATTAATATTTAAATCATAGATGACTTATTTCTAAAAGCTTGTAAGTCCAATAAACTAAAATATTAGTCATATAAGTAGACCTGTTCCAACACCTACTCCACATTCAAACTTCCCCTAACATCTAAAATTACTTGCATCTATACAATGTTTAATTTCAATCCATTGCACAATTGTAATAAGAATTAACAATAAATTAGTTGGTATTTTTATTATGTCAGACTAAGATACATAAATTTGTAATTCTGTTATTATTCTTAGGGGACAGTAGTCCCAGAATAAAATTATTTTTTCATTTCATTTTTCATTTCATAAGTAACTAATGCTAAGTAACTAATTAGGGAAATTAGTGAGGTTGACGAAGGCGTGTACAAATGATCCTAAATGCAGGGTACTAATACAAGGAGACGTATCTGAAGCCTTTGAAGTTCGAACGGGTTTGAGGCAGGGAGATGGACTCTCGCCGATGCTGTTCAACATAGCACTAGAGAAAGTAATAAGAATAACATCACACAAAGATGGAGGGGTGCACGTTGGAACGAAACATAAGATCCTAGCATATGCCGATGATATAGCTGTCCTCAGAAGTAATCAAGAGAATATTGATAGACTCGCTCAGACTCTATTAAAAGAAGTAGAGCAAATCGGACTACAGGTCAATGTAGATAAAACAAAATACATGATAGTTAGCCAAACCATCCACCCTAATAACATGATCTGTGTTGACTCTAAGTCATTCCCGAAAGTAGACAGATTCAAATACCTCAGCTCCACAATAACCTCAATAAATGATCAACTAACAGAGATAGACCAGCGAATAACAAGAGCGAGTAGATATTTCTTCTCTCTTTCAAAGGTACTGAAATCCAGAAAAATCTCCAGAAATCTAAAAATAATTTGTGTAAAACGCCGTGATTAAGCCAGTTCTGCTGTACGGTTGTGAAACCAGGGCTCTAACCGGCACACTAGAAGCCTGAATTGAGAGATTCGAAAGGAAAGTTCTACGTAGGATAACAGGACCAATATGGGACCAGAACCTTTACACATGGAGGAGAAGGAACAATAAAGAACTGCTGAAAGAAATGGATCAGTCAATATCTCATGACATGAAGGCAAGGAGGTTAAGATGGGCAGGGCATGTAGTTCGTAGCAATCCATCAGGACGCCTTTACATGACAATGAATGCCAGAGTAGTAGGCAAGAGACCCTGTGGAAGGCCAAAAACCAGATGGATAGATAGGATAAACAAAGATACGGCAGAGTTTCATGCCGCAAACTGGAAAGCAGTAGCCCAAGATAGGTAGAGGTGGAGAAGGCTGGTGCAGGTGTACACAGGTCTACAAGGTCTGTAGAGCCAACCGAAAAAAAAAAGTAACTAATGCTAATTCATTTATTACTACTTCTGCATAATGTTATGTTTTTAGCAATGTCAGGTATTTGAAGAAAAAAAAAAAAAACAATAATCAAAAGAAACAGATCAAAATTTTAATTTTTCTTTAAGAGAAGTATAGTTCTTAGTTATCTTGTATAAACCTTGTTTATATGGACCAATAATGTTAAGAGGTAGAGTGGATCAAAAATGTATTGGCTCAGTATAATTTTTCTGCAAATCTCAATAGGATTAAGATACTTACTATAAATAATATTTATTTAATAAATTACCCCTTGGGAATCAGGTTTTAGAAGTAATGAACATAAAGAATGAGGGTCAAAAATGTGTCAGCACAGTTTTAAATATTTACTATTAGCTCCAGCATTAGCGGATCCAGGATTTAATTTTGGGGGGGAGGGGCTTCAGCCCGAAACCTTTTTTTCATAAAAATAACGATAATTACTTTGGAAAAACAGAAAGAAACTAACTACCTTTATGAAATGGTGTTTAAGTGATTCCTTAAGTCCTTTTAAATGTAATTACACGAACAATAATACTTTAAATGGTATTTATAAAAAAAAAATTCCATAAAACATGGTTATATTTTTCCATTTTGGGGGGGGGGCTTCAGCCCGAAAGTCCCCCCCCCCATAGATCCGCCCGTGAGCTCCAGTTAAACCAAATTAATCCTTTTTTTTTGCAAGAGATTAAACCAAGGATTGACAATAATACAATGATTTATTATACCCTACAAATGACGCAGAAGTTGAAGATGTTGGCCGAAAGATCCACATAGTCCCCTGAAATCTTTTACGATGGTCAAGGAAAACTGGACATTACGCATTACTTCCCAAAGTGGCTACAAATGGACAAAAGATAATGGTGAGAGGTGCTTCTCTTGTGGATTTTGGCCGGGCAACTGGACCATGGGAACAAGCTGTTCGTAAGTCTCGAGAACCATTAACTTTGTTTTTTACTTCCTGACATAGCCATATAGAGAGAAGAACGAAGAAGAAGAATAATACAATGATAACAATAAAAATCAGTCTTTGCTATATAATTGTATAACAATGCCAGTAAAACCAGTGAATATTGTATCAGTTTAAAATAAAACACATCATCAAATTACATTTCATATCCATTAAATTGCAAATTGCAAATAAATTAGAAATTAGTTATAGTAGAGTTGGAATATTGTACCAACTTGTGTTTACAAACCATGAGATATATAATTCATAAATATTATTATTATGACAGGTTACAAAAGAAAAATTCATTGAAAACAGAAATGAACTGCAAAAAAAAAGTTAGTAAAAACTTATTAAATAAAAACATTTAAAAATCTATTGTTTATTTTTTCATAATGAAACATAAAATAAGTTAAGTAAGCCAATACGTTTCGGATCCACTGTGAGTCATCATTTATCATGTCAATATTTTATAAGAAAGGTGAGTGAAAAAATTGCTAATAAGGTTATCACCAATTTTGCACTACTTTAATTTAATTTATTGAAACATTTTTAATCAACTACCAATTTGTCCTAATTAGAAATGAGTAGGATAATTAAATAATTTTGAAACATTACATTTTATTAGTTTGTTGATGATGTTATCTATTTGGAAATAATTGTTTTCAACATTTTTTTATACCCTTTAATTAATAACGATGTAACGTACATCATTACTTTAACGTTTAAAAGTCATAAACTTGTCCTCTACACCAAAAGTTGCTAATATGAACCTTTCAATTGACAGACTTAACTCCAATTTCAACAATTTTCAGCAAAATTAGTGATATTTCTAGTAGGAAAATTTATAATACCTGGACAGACGGTGAGTAAGTTGATTCCAGTTTAGGTGATTGCATTGTTCAAATAAAGAATTGTGATTAAAGATATAAATTTTTCCACTAGAAATATCAGTAAAATTAATAATCAAAAGTGTTTAAATTGGAGTTATTCATTATGACAACTGAAAGACTCATATATAAACGTACAGGATATAAGGTTTTTAAATTATGACATAGTTTATTTGATACTCTTAGGGCTTTGTGGATATTCCTTGAAATATTAAATATGCTGAAAAGTAAACTAACTATATCAAGACTAATAAACCAATTCAGTACAAAATTCTGAAAGTTTAATTGTTTTACTAAATATAAAACAACAAATTAATAACATACCTGTAATGCCTTCATCGATAGACAGTAAAACTAATTTCAACCCATAATCATGTTTTTCATTTAACAATTTCAAAACATAAGCAAGAACTGTCGAATCTTTACCACCAGACGCTGCGATTGCTACAGTATTACCTCTTTGAAATAATTTTCCTTTAGTAATGGTGAAATGTATTTCAGTTTCAAAGGCTGAGAAAAAACATTCTTTACATAATGCATCCCCTGTTTTCGGCCTCTACAAAAATTCAAAAAATTAGAGAACAAAATTCAATCAGCACAACATGCTTGATCAACGCTGTAAATCACTTTACTTTTAATTTGGCTTTATTTCCACAGTTCGTTTTACACAATGCAGGCATGGAAGAAAGATATTTTGATTCACATAGAAACAAAAACAAAGAAGGTACATAATAATTGACAAGGAGAGCTAACAGTTTAAATCCAAAGAAGATAGAAAAATCAAATAAGTCAAAGCTAATATTTTAGAAAACATTAATTATTATGTTATTACCTAATACAACAAATATAATATAAAAATTTTAGGTCAGTCAGCCCATAGGACTGTATAAAAGTAAGAATTATTCATTATTATTTGGTGAATAATGAAGTAAATTATTCTGATTATGAATTAATATCATGTCTATGTTCATGTTCAGTACATAAAAGATTCCCTCTTTAATTCTTTTTATCAACGTGCTCGATCAAATCGCGATTTCCAAGTCATAGCATTAACATTTCATTTTATATCCTGAATCCCACATTTGTCCTGGAATAAACGCATTCTTCTAATAACGCAATCTCCAAGAAAAGCAATATTAGTGCAGAGAAAAGAAAATATACTAAGAGAATGTTCTTTAAAAAATAACCTGATTGTGTTTAGGAAGTGAGTGGGATTATTCTGAACATGAATAAAATCTAGATATATTTCTTATTACTTTTTCATATCTATGATGAAAATATTATGAGTAATAACGAAATTCGTAAGGATAGAGAGCCAAAGCGATGTAATGCAAAATAATTTTTACATTTTTTTAATGTGAACACTTGGCTAAACAAAAACAGTTACTTTACTCCATGGCTTCTTCTCAGATGATTCGAATAGGCTGCTTACGTAAGCATATAAGGCAATTTTAAGCTTGCAGGTAGTCACTAATGTGAAGCATACACCCTTTTCTGCACGTTCTTCTTTGACCATAGTTAATTCATGTTTCAGTGAATATTCTAACAACCATCTTGATCTCTGTTTTGCAGACAGTACTTTCCTTAGCAATGTCAAACAGTAAGAAGGCTAATGTATCTCCTTGCCGTATTCGCGTTCTAGAACTCCAAACCAATATAGACAATGCGCTTAGATAATGATTTTCAATTGATTTTCCGTACATAAATTCCCGCACACCATCAGGATATTCATATAGAACCTCTAAGCCACTTTTTTGTCACTCATCATCACCATACTGCCTTTCCATTTTATTCTTTGTAATTTGATCTGAAAGGAGATGTTGAGTTCCTTAGAGAGCGGAGACAGTCCACACTTTGATGATTCTCACATGAAGATCCTAGATTCTCCTAAAGATTACTCTTTCAAACCTGTCCAGTACTCACCAGCACTTCAACACTGGATCCTTAAATTGGTATCAAGCTAAAAAATTATCTCTTAAAGTATTGTTACTCACGTAATTGCATTTAATAGGACTTCAAAAATCACTAATACATCATTTCATATAGTTTCTTTCTTTTTTTCCAAATTAATTATCGTTAAATTAAAAAAAAAAAAAAATTCGAGCTGAAGCTCCCCCAAAATTAAATCCTGGATCAGTAGGTGCCTGGTAGGTGTTTACTAGTGAGAGAAGCACAGGAAAGGCTACTGGTGTGTGTAGGGAGGGAGGGGGTGATAGAGGATAAAATATAAAAAGGAATTTTAAGTTCAGAATGGGAATTCCAGAGTAATTACAGTAGAGACATTTTAACATTTAGAGGTTTAATTTAAGTAGAAAGAGTTATCAGCCTACTGCCTCCATTGTCAGATGGAGCGGCTATCAAGAGGTGATCCTGTAGTGTGTATTGTGGTTGTGTACTATTATATTCTTGATGTTCTTCCAAAAGTTATTTTTTGCGTGATAATGGCTATGAAAGTTTCCTTATCAGCCCATATTCTTTTCATTTTTCACTTGTCTGTCCACTCCTCTTCTTTTCTACTACAAGGACCTAAATATATTTTCTATAATTTCAAGTCTTGATATTTCCTCTTTCATCTGCCCAGGGTATCCTCCAATGTTTCTTAGTCCCATTATTTTGTCGAAAAACTTCGTTCTTTTCATGTGCTCGAAAAATTTTAATTTCCTTTTCTTCATGGCTGTTTCTAACTCTTCAGTTCCTTCATACAGTTCTTTGTTTTGTTTTTTTAGGCCAGTACTGTTCTCCTACTTTTCTTGGTCTATGAAAATGTTTTAGGGTTTTCCTTTTTATTTTTAGTAGTTTCTCCAAACTAGTAAGTCTCATTTTTTTCAGTATGGTATCACATCGGCTACACTACTGGTTCTTTTGTTTCTTCCTTTTTATTATAGACATTCTTTGTCAAATGTCCCAATCTCAATCAATCAATGTTTTTACTGTTCCATATTTTGTCTTAATTTTCCTTTTTGTTTTCATGTTATTGGTCATCAATTTGGTTTATTGCTTCTTGCATCTATTCACCTATAACGCATTCATACAAGAGTCTTGTATGAATGCATTATAGATGAACAGCACACTTAATATCTTCTACTAAGGAGAAATAAAAACGACTTTCGATGAAATAAGAGAATGCAAATTATATTATAATGACATATTATGAAAAATTTTTGTGAAGTGGTGCATGAAGCTTGAAAATGGCTCGTGAAGCCAAATGTTGAATAATAAATACATAATGTAAAAATGTGTATATTTGGTGACCTTTGGCCTTATGCTGTTTATAAAAAAACATAAAAAATGGCACTGAATCTGAAAAATATGACTAGAAAATTATTTTTGTACTCTCTTTGATTAAAAAATATATATTTTAATCAATGGAAATTAAGAGTTTATTACAACTAAATCAAAATGCGGGTCTTAGCATCAGAACAATAATTTTTAAAATAAATTTAAAAACATTTAAATAACTAAGAGTAGGGAATAAAACTAAAACTCATAAGACCGTGTTGAAAAAATATAATTAATATTTTTCAAATTTACAATTGATAAATTCAATGGTAACTATGTACAATTGTTTTCTTTAATGCTTCACTATTGTTAACACTTCCAGACACCATTTAAGATTGATAATTCCTTATAATATTTTCATGCAGTTTATAATTGCTTCATATTTAATATTATTTATCGTTAATCTCGACCAAACTGATGAGTATGGACCGGTTTGTCAATACGGTAAATATACTGTCCGACGTTGAAGTAGCCTATATATTCAACTTCATCAGGAGTAGTATCTTGATGGTAATGGCCAGCTTCTCCATGCTCGCTAAAACTATGGAAATGTTGAACTCTGAGATCAAAGTCCTAAAAAAAAAAAAAATGAATGAAACTGAATTATATAGAAGACATAAATATCACAATGAAGCTTGCTATAAAGAGCAGTGCCAAGCAATAATATTTAAAATTTTATAGAGAATAAATTATAGTTACAATATTTTATCTTTTTGTTGGATTTTTAAAAAAAAAAGATTTTTGACTTTTTCAAAGGTCTTGGAGAAGGGTGGAAGCCCACTTTATATCCAACTCATAACCCCTAGAACACGATTATGGGATTTAGGGGTGTGTGATTTTTAAATATATATATACACATTTCTCTGCTATAATTTGACACTTTCAGAAGAGATCTTCAATAGATCAATGAGTTGAAATTCAGCATGAAAGGTTGTTTTCTAGGTAGATAAATATTTTAAACGTTGGGATAAATTTCAATAAAAATTGTCAGTGGTTTTTTGAGGCCTCCCTCCACTACAGTATCTCCAAAATAGTCGCAGAATTCAAAATTTGTATGCCAATTTAGATGATATAGTGAAGTTTGGAAGTTTCAACTTCTTTTTCAAACTACCACAACTTTGATTAAAAAATTTTATAAAATATTCAAAAAACATTAAAAAGAATTTCAGCATATTAATATCCCAACCGATTTCCTCAGGGCAGCATTAATGAAAAAAAATAAATGATTTTTTGTCTGTTTTCAAACAAAAATGAGAGGTAAATGTGAACTAAGTTGACTCTGTTGTTCACATTTTTTTATTTATTTTAAAATCAAAATATAAGAAACACATTTATTCCTACAATGGAATCAATTCTAATACTAATTCTAGTATTATGATATATTATTAATTGTTACTTTTTATGTTTTCACTGTACATCTCACTATTTATAAAGTTTTATTTTAATTTTATTCTTTTCAAGTTATTTCTTTGTTGACATGTAACCTATATATTAATGCAATGATTATATTAAATTATAATTGTATGTTCATAAGTTTAAGTTGTCTTATATTTAAATGAGTTTCTCACTTATAAACAAATAAATTCAATTCCTACAAATTAATATAATCATTGAGTTTTAAAATTTCTTCCACATTTTCTTCATATGCCATTTCTAGCATCAAGGAGCCTCTATCGAGAGGAGCTCCTCATGTTGGTCCCTGCTTAACCACTTCATTTGATTAAGAGATTTATTTTTTTTATCTCCAATCCTTTGTACAAATTCCTAGTATGAAAGTCTCGGAAGCCTTCATGGTTCCTCAGTGGGTAGAATTTCTACTGTCTATAAAGAATCTATGCCCTCGTTCAGGCAGTAGATATGTCCAAACCATTCCCTGAAGTGGATTTGAGCTTAGGTACTTCTAGCTGCTCTCTTATACTTTCGTTTCTAATACGATCCCTCTTAGTATTATCAACAGATCTAAATAGAAACCTCATTTCTGCTTCTGTTATACGACTGTAATGTCTGTCTATCATGGTTCAGCTTTCTATGTCGTATGTGAGAATAGGCAAGTATACTCTTAGTGATCTGGTAATATATCCAACTTGCTTTTGATATTCTGTTTGAGACCTCAGCATCTATCTTGCCAGAATCAAGTAATTACGGTCTCTTTAATAGATGGATTCCTTTACCCTCTCAAGAACCTTCCAGTTGCAGACCAATTGGACGTCTTCCTGTTCTTCTCTTGCCATAAACACTCTGCTCTAGGAGGCATTAATTCTCATTCCCTTCCTCAGCAATTCTTCTTCTGGGTCTTAGAATATGGTCAGAAATTTAAAAAATAATAATGATGAACATTAAAAACCTTGAATTTAAAAAAAATATGAAAAACGGTACATCAAAACGATGATATATCAAGTAAAATACTATAAATAGAAAGAAAACTTTTAATGCAAAAAAGTGATGTATTCATCACACATTGAAGAAGAAGAAAGAATTATTTTTTTCTATCAAAGAAGAAAAATATTTTTGTTAACATTTCAGGATTTCTTTCTCATCTTCAGAACTCTCTGTTACATTTGCTTGCAATCAATTTCTAGAAATTGAACGCGTTGTTAAAAATAAACGTTACAATGTTTGTTATGTAGATGTTACAGATTTGTTGGTTATTATATTTACTCTTGTGTTCCCCTTTGTCTTAGTTTATTTTTCCATTCAGTGTTTATTTTTGTACTTGGTACTTAATTATTTATGTTTTTTCTTTAATATGGGTATGTATGTTTGTTGGTATTATTAGATTTATTAATTTTATTGTGTTTTGATTTTGTTGAGAATGACAGAGTAGTATGTTCTCAGGTGTTTTGTATCAGTTTTGAAATTTACTGTTATTCTGTTGTTTTTTGCGATATGGATTCAAGTAATTTTCTATTGTTATTTTTTGTTCTGTCCAAATTATTATTTTACCATCGTTCTAATGACACACATGCAAGGGTCAAAAGGTCCGCAAACCTAATAAACCATATACAAACTGCAAATCCTGAATACATTTATCCTTATTATGATATTATATAAATATTTACCAAAACATCAGAAGACATCAAAGTTCCTACAGCTACCAATGGAGCTGACATTGTATAGAAGTTCAACCATTTATTCAATTCTTTTTCAGAATGGATTGGAGTAGAAGAAAATTCTGGCATGACGTGCTGTAAAGCTTTTCCACTTTTAATAAGGAAAGCTCCACCAAGTCCTAAAAGAAATATTAGAAATATAATGTAATAATTTGTAAGTGTGTATAACATTTAATACACTATATAAATAATTAATGATAATCTTTCCGAAAAATCCTAACTTAATCGTTTAATTCTATCATAAAAAAATTCTTTGAATGCTTAGAAGTATAAGAAGGAGTTGGCCGGGGAGAGAAGGGGGAACGGGTGTGGTCAAATAAATACTAAATTTTTAAAAAGTAGTATTTTTAATTTAATTTAAATTTAAATTAATTTAATTTTTAAATATTATTTTGTAAAAATTTAGTATTTATTTGACTGCACCCCCTGACCAACTCCTTCTCATATTTTATCATGGTCAACCATTTCTACATCGCTTAGAAATATAACTTTAATTCTTCTAATTTTAAAATCATTGTTCAAATACATTGTTCTTTAATAAAAAAAAGTTAACTTTTTTATTATTTTAAATTTATTAAAAATATACCATAATGTTAATATGCTTACCAACGAATTTGCCTTTGAATTCCTCTTCTAATGATTTTCTCAGAACAGTAATAAAGTTGTCAACACCAATGCGGCTTTTACAATGAACTTTCAAAACCTGGAAAATTTTACCATGATAACATGAAAATTATTTAAAATTAAAAAGATGCAATATAATAACTAAAGACTAGATTTATATGCAACAAAAACCGTTGAAATATGTCATGTAATATGCAAGTAAATAATGAAAGAAGATAAAGATAAAATATAGAGCCATAAAAACATTTTAAAAAAAGGAATGATTTCATTATTTACTATTTTATATTATTTTAACCTCTAATAGCAACTTTTCAAATGGAAACTCCAAGAGATTTTTTTTCAATATAATAATTTAATTTTAATGCAATAAAAAACCTGTACCACTACAACCCATGAAGGGTCTTGGGTTCAGTACTATTTAGGTAAAGTACTGTTTCCCCCTTAATTAATTATTTAATTGAGGGTGCCCACTTTATAGAGGCTGGGTGGGGTGTGCCACAGGAGATTCTCCGACACCAGGGACGATCCACGGTCCATTGAACATAATAATTAATTTCTCTGACAAAGCCGGGATTCGAACCTGGCATCACTCAGCTACCCCACTTTTTTAATGCAATAAAATAATTTTAATTTCAATTATATATAATGTTAAATAATTTTAATATAAAAGCATTACATACATTCCTTCAGACCAGAAAGTAGGGGTTTGAATATAATATTATTTTTTAAGGGAACATCAAACTGTCTCAGGCTCTAAATGGTCTATATACCCTCGTGATGAGACCCAATCATTTAGTTTTAAGAAAAAGAAGTAAAGTTTTGAAATTTTGACATGATTATAATATTTTTTTTTTTATAAGTTAAATTATACAAAATGTTTTCAAATGTGCTGTCCACTCTTGGGTTTTTTCCTAGTGCTTCTATACTAAGTTTCCATCAAAACAGTTCTCAATATTTTGAATCCTACATTCATTACTATGCAATTTACTACTTACCACTTTTATATTACTTAGAATTAAACATGATTTTTCATTTGAAATATAATTAGAAAAGCTGAGAAATATTAATGACATCTTGTCCGATATTAATTCGCATACAAATTATTGAGTAATTTTATTAATTAAACAATTTTCTATGTATAAAATAAATTCAATCAATCAATACATGCATATATATTATGCCTTTGGAGCTTAAATATGCATAAAAATAAAATTGTTGCCAAATATGTAACATGAAAATTTGTTAAAAGATTTAAAATTACTTGTTTCATAAAGATATAGACTTATATTTTATGGTGTGAGTAATAACATTTAAAATTTGTTTTAGAAGTCTTTGTTTAATCAATATATTTACAAATATCTATAAACTAATCTGCGATATAGAAACGACAACAAAAGTGAAAAATAATTAAAAAATATATTACTTTTGACTGAATTCCTTCACAAAAGAAGAGGTTGCCTAAAAGAGCAAATCTTGTTTCATTGGATGGAAGAACACTAACAATAATATCGTCGGAGCCATCATCTTTTACTTTTGCAATATGGGTTTTATTTATAACATGATCTCCATCAATGAGAACATTAGCCATCATCTAGAAAAATATCGACAAAATTTTACTATTTAAGATAGATTAATGTTCTGTTAATATCTTTATTTTTAAAAAAAAGAAAAGAATAAACCTCAGAGTTTTTACCAACGAAAGGCCATGGACCAGCACCGGCACCGATTACAAAACATGGTTTCATTCCGATTGCTTTGACAATATCTTTAATATCATATACTTTTTCTCTGTCAACATCTGGTAATAAATATGGTGGTCCTCCTACTTCAACAACTGCGGTGGATCCACCGATTCCTATAAAATGACTAAACTAACAGTGTTGCTAAATTAACTAAAACAATTTTATATTAAACAGTTAAATACCTTTACTAGCTAGACAAAAAGGTTCTGCAGTAAGATCAGGGCAATCGACAACATCTACACTTGCCTCAGAGAAATTTATTTTTAATCCTTTCAGAAGAGCTAAAAAAGGGGAGGTAAATAGAATAAATTTGCATATATAAATAATTATTTCTGCAATTGCAGTGATATTTTCCTTACCTTTTTGAACATCTTCCAATTTTGGACAATCTAGTTCTTTTTTTAAAATATTAGAATAATCAGAAAACATTATGCCTGCTAACAAAAAAAGAATTGTATTTATCTCAATATAACAATATTAAGTGAAATTTTCTTTTAAATACCTGTTGATTCCCTTTCAAGACCAAATTTGGAACTTATCACTACATATGCTATCTAACCTGTTATAAATTATGGCTTACATAATTTCACCACATATTTACGAAATGGGGGTTTCTTATCTATTGATTTTAAAACTATTCTTAAAATTTAAACCCATTTTGTATTCAATTAACTTTTTCGTAAATAAAAAAAAACAAAAACATGATTGATTATTTTGTTTATTTGTTGTTGATTCGTGGTGAATTTTATACGGCATATTTAAGATTTAATAGTAATAATAAATGTTAAGAATGTAATGATATATATTGAAGTGAGAGAAAATTTGATGAAAACTTAGAGGACCACAAACAAGTTCGCATATTTGAAATTACGTCTTGAATGAGTTCTGTTAACTAAACCGTATAATCCAATTAACATCATGTCAATACCAAACGTGAATTGTAAATTCTTAAAATGAAAAAATTGGTTGCCAAAATAGGAGTGTTAAGTATTTACATTAGAAACGATAGTCAGAAATAGAACTTTTCGAATCTTCAATATGATTTCTTCTTTAATATTTGATCCACTATTATGCATTTATTTACTTAAATAATAAATATTTCCAATTATAAGTATTTCTCCATAAAGATGAGATATCATTTTCCTTTTTTCTCGGAATCATAGATTGTGAACATAGATTTCTGTTTATGTGCTTAATTTTTATTATTATTTCACTTTAATGATTACATATAAATGAAAAAAGTAGATCATTTTCAAAAAATCTCATGTGAATTATTTTTGGTTTATTAGTTTACGATGGCTACTTCATGCAATGTTCTTAGTGACTTGGATTAAAGCATGTTTCAATTTATTTAATATATTATTTAAAAGACTAGTTGTTTCTTTGCCTTTAAAAAAATAAAAATAATAAATAAAACGAAAATAGTGGATAACAGATTTATTAATCCAATTGTAAGATTCTTACTTTTGATACATACTTGTAGAAGAATAGGAAAGGATAAGTTTATTATGGGGTGTGGTTTAAGAAAATAATAATAAAAAAAACTGAGATTATTGTCAACGTATTTTTAAGGTGTATAAATGTTTTGGTTTTCTAAGTTGTGTGCCTTCATCAATGGATCCTCCCGGAATTATGAATTTCGCAATTAATTACGACAAATGGTGATTTTTGAAATAAGCTACAAAACACTTCTGGTGTTCTTGAGACTGTACAGCACGTAATTATGACCTGCACTGCATGCAAGAGTCAGTAGAAATTACATACTCACTGAAGAGGAGTTTTCTTAATTGGTGAGGAAGAACTTCTCTCGGTTCAAAGTTAATTGAAGACTGGAATGTGGTGATGTTTCCAGTCTTGGATAACCTTATAACCTGAAGAGGAAGAAAGCCAAGAACAGGAAGATAACCAGAAGATTAAGTTTATTCAATACCAGAAAGGTAAAAATAGGAAACAGAAAAGGACAATGACTTAATGGAAATAGCCACCAGCCTATCCCTGCTGAATTTCATCCTGCAATAAATCAGGTTTATTCCATGTAATCATTTTTAATTTAATTTTTAACATATCTCAAAGTTACTCAACTTTGTTAAAATTAAAGCTCTATTTAACTAATATTTATGACTTAACTGAATGAAGACATCGAATCTCATAGAGATTATAATTTAATGGAGAACAATTCGAGAAACTCAATCATAATTACATAGCAATGACAAGACGCTTAAATACGAAGCCATTAAAGATCATTATAACGCTTGCGTGTTTAATTCAGATTTTTATGTTCTTTGTGATAATTATTTTAGAAAACCTTTCTTCATTTAATTCGAGAAAAATTATCTCTTATAATGAAAGATTATAAAATGAAAACATAGAAAACTTTTTCATCCTAAATCTAAGGCGGAAACCGCATATTTATAACAAAGTATAAAAAATAATTTAAATATACTCTAGCCGATTATCATTAAGGGATGAGCAACATCTTAAAGTTTTTGAAAATAAAGAACTGTGTGGAATATTCGAACCAAAGAACGAAAGTCAGCCATAGAATTTATAAATTATTATTTATAAAATCGGTATATATAAATAATTATATTTATAATACAATTTATCTATTATCTGTTTTTACGTAACACCGAATTACGTGAAGTTTTTTTGTATTAACTTGCAATTTTTTGTATACAGGAAGAGAGGTTTGTCCTAGAAGTACAATCAAATCTATTCTAACCAGAGTGCCATTCTAAAACAGAGAAGGTCGAGATTCATTCTGTGGTTCCGTCACGAAATAAATTTCAACCCGACCAGGTTCGAACCACCGCTGTGGCCTTTGTATAATACCCAGTGTGAACTATATACATTATTGAGATTATATTACAGCGAATACAATGAGCGTGTTAAATTTCTGGGCTTAGTAACGTAGTAGAATACCTAGAAGATTAATATGCGCTTTGCCGACTGGTAAGCATTCGAGGAGTTGACTAAAACGAAGATGGGATCATTGCTTTTAGGCGGATTGGAGGTGTTGGGTTCGGTCAGCGGTCAGTGGATGGACATATATAGATAGCAATCGGTCGTAGCACGATCGAATCTTTTGATTCGCTATGCTTTTATTACCATTTCCTTGGAGTACTTCAAATAGGATGGGTTATCCTTAATTCTTTTTAGAGTGAGAAGGTTGAGATTTATTCTGAAAGTCTACTAAATATTGAAAGTGAATTCAAAGGCTGGAATCAAACCCAAATCCTCTTTTGACTTAGCCTTGCTGAGTAGTTAACATAATGCGTTTGGCCTAAACAATCTATATTTTCAATTTTACGTATTGTTATGAGTTTACAATTGTAGTAGGCATCCCGTGACGTCACAAGTTCAATCAATAATTCGGTTCTTCCATATTAGGAATAGTAGTAGATACATATTAATTCTATACCTATCAACTTTATAACCAACAAATTTTATTTGTTGTCATTAGGATGTCAAAAAGATAAGAACTTTACTAGAAATTGAGAATGTAGTCCTGTTTTTTTAACGCTTTAAAGTAGGTTTTACGTTTTAGTTTTTCAGATATTTTCCAATAATTTCAACTGATAAAAATGGAAATTGGTACCTTTACTAATCCATTAATTAAAAAAACAATTATCCATGCAGGAAAAGATTTCAAAAAAATTTTGCCAGGAACAAAAGTAAGATTCGTTTTCATTTTTAAATGATAAATATATATTTTTCTGTTCAGATAAAATTTAAAATAAAAATCCTCTAGGTCAGATTTCATTTTATTACTCGAAAATGTGATGACAATCAAACCGTCATCGATGATAGCAGAAAGATGAGCAAACCAATGGAATTGATCATTGGCAAACAGTTTAAACTTGAAGTTTGGGAAACAATTGTTCAAGCTATGGCACTAAATGAAGTAGCTTCATTTGTAGTGGATAAAAGTGTAAGATAAAATTAATTTTTATTTATAGTTTATGTATGCATCAGTTTAATTTATATATGACCAAGAAGTTAGTTAACTTGCAATTGTTAAAAAAAAGAGCTCATATTTTAATCATTATTAATATTTTAAAATTATATGCCTCTGCCTTATGTCATTTGAATATACGTGAAAAAATTAGAATTTTCTGAAATCCAGGATCTGTATAAACAGAGATTATTAAAAAATATATATTTACATTTTGTTATGTACTCTTAGTATTGAAAAGTATATATAAACTTGGATGACTTAAAACAGTTCTTCATCCCTTCAATACAGTAGATTTGCAGATACAAGAAATAATTTCTTAGCTGTCGATAGGATGGTTGTGTTTTATTTTAAATTTTTCAATAATGTTAACGACATGGAATTAAGTCGCTTTCTTGATAGCTGAAGTTTTAAGGTTTGATGTATGAATTTATCTAAATATGATTTCCCCATTGAGATTAATAATGCATTTTAGGTACAGTGGACCCTTGTGTAGCCTTCTATTCTGAGTAATCAAACATGATGTGTATCTTTGATAGTCCACTAATAAATGTATTACATATTATAAATTTAAAGTATGCATATGTTTCTAGCAGTAAAAATTCTTTTATGGCCCCTATTCAATTCAAGTTTACATATATCCAACATTTAAATAACATGTAAGCTAGGCAGAAGCTATAAAAAGTCTCTCTATAAAAGTAAATCTTATTTATATCATTTCTTTTTTAACAAATAAAAAAAAAAAACATTGGAAATCTGTATCAAAATGTCTTGCAGTGATTATTATAAATTTATCATGAATTTTACTCATATCAATTTAGATTTTAGACATTGTTGTTTAGTCATTTCTCATTACTTCTTAAAGTAACTTTTGGATTAAGAGTATAATTTTTAATATATTAAATTATGTTTAATTAAAAACTAAAAATCCTTAAAACGTCTTACTTTTGCATTTGTAATTTTGTTTAGCTAGTTCATGCATATCCATTGGTTTCTAGAACCTTAAGGGATGCACAACATCCTGAAAAAGCACGTTCGAGGCATTGTTGTGGCCACATGTTACAAAGCTATGGCTTAGAGCATGAGGATCTCAATTCATTATTGACAAATCCTTGTGATCTTGAATTCATCATTGGTAAGATGTTGAAATTTTATTGCATTAAGATTAAATATATTTATCTATATATTTAAAATAAAATGTATTTAAATTTATCATTTATCAGCTCCTCCTTTCAGAACTGCTTCAAGTTGAGAATGCTGGTGAATACGAACAAGAAACATGGCAGCTAAATGAAAAGGAACGGTTAAATGAAGTTCCAAAACTTAGAGAAGAGGGTAATGCATTTTTTAAAAATGGTGACTATACCGAAGCAGTTCAGAAATATTCAAGAGCTATTGGTTTCTTAGATCAGTTAATGCTTTGGTAATGTTTTTATTATTTTAATATGTTTGTTCAATGATGTTATTATTACTAGTTCATACTCTTGACCTTTCTTCATTAATTCCTGTTTCCTCCTCAATCCTTTTTTTTTTTTTTTTTTTCTCAATCCTTGCCAATATGTATAATTTAACTAAATTAACACTCGTAATTTATATTGTTTTTTTTTATTTCGAATTTTTTTGGATGCTTTGTTCCCCTCTTGAGCATTTAAAATTAAACAAATGATACATTAACAATTCTCCTTTAGTTTTTACATTTGTATAGGTTTTATATCGAACTAGTCACTTATTTATTCTTGGCACTACAGTTCTACAAGAACCTGAGTCTCTCTTAATATTATTCTCCACTCTCCTCTATATTGGACGAGAATTCTTCATCTCCAAATTCCGAGTGTTTTCAGTTCGCGGTTTATTTTTTTTGCTGAAGAAGCTTACAAATAAACGTAACATCATGTATGTCGGAAGAGAAAACATGGAGCCTAAGATTTTTTTTAATGGTGAACTCCTAGAATTAACGAATACTTATACATATCTAGGGACCATAATAAATGAAGATGGTAAAATAGACCTGGAGTTTCTATATCGAGTGATAAAGGCCACTGGACTATACCATCATGTATCCAAAACTATCATAGGCAAGCTAGAAGTGAGTAGAGATACCAAAAGTCAGATATTTAATCTGTTTTCCACCCAGTTATCCTGTATGGATCAGAAAGCTGGATACCCCTCGATAAACATGTAAACAGGATCACATTAGCAGAAATGAGATTCCTTCGTAGAATAGTTGGTAAGACTAGAAGGGACTTCTTCAGAAATGAAAGAATTCGGGAGGATTTGGGTGTCAAGTCAGTATGCGTTATCATGCAGGAGCGGCAACTAAAATGGTACACACATGTCTGTAGAATGGATGGTACCAGAAAAGGCAGACCAAGGTGCATGTACTCTGATTACATCAGAAATCTGGGAGCAGCAAGAGGACACACCATACCGGATATGAGAAGACTAGCCAGAGGCAGAGGCTGCAGCTCCATGATTTACGGCACTTGGAAGAAGAAGAAGAACATTCTAAATTGTTTGAATATACTTCAGTTATTACTTTATGTTTAATGTTTGTTTCAGGTATATTTTTTTAATAACTTTTCTTTCCTTTATCTTTTAATGTATCATTTCTGTGCCAAATATTTTAACACTATCGAAACTAATTTCATGAACCATCTCCCATCCATCTCTGAAATGTCCAAATAAAAATTAAAAAATATTAGTAATATTATTAAATCAGTCTTATGGACAAGGAGTGAGGAGGAAATAGGATTTTACAATTATTATATTATTTACATTAAATATATAACATATTATATAGTAGTTATTTTTCATTCCAATTCAATTGATTAAAGAAATAAAATTAAAAATATTATTTTATAAATAGTGAGAAACCTGGAGAACCTGAATGGAAAAGTCTTCAAGACCAAAAAATGGCTATTTTACTAAATTATGCTCAGTGTAAATTGGTTCTTAAAGAGTACTATGAAGTAATTGAGCATTGTACTACCGTACTTCAATATGACCAAGGTATTTATTACTTTTAACTTTTCTTAAATTCTGTAGTTTTTCCTCCTACGTCATGAACATTGAGTAAATGGCATAGGCGTGTAGAATTAAGTGATAAAGATCATGATGAAAGGTGGGATAGAGTTCCAGAAGTAGGCAGTTCGGGATAGGAAGGATTTGTCAAATAGCGTAGTTTGGTGGGGAGAAAGGTAAAAGTTACAAGAGCGAGATCAGGTGGGACGAGATTTGATAGATGATTTTAAATCGCAGGCTCTTTAGTATGTAGGATGGGCGCCAAATTCTGATTACCTGATATAGGAAGGATGCAAGAAAATACTTACACCTGTAAGATGGGTATAGCCACTTCAGCTTGACATAATACTGGATTATTTGTGAATATCTTGTAATCTAAAAAAGAAATCTAACTAAGTAATTCATAAGCCGTGTCTTGCTTCAACTTCATCAGAGAGTCCATTGTACACCAGACAGCCGTAATCAAAGTGGGAGAACACAAGAGATGAAACTAGGAGTTGTTGGGTTTCATGTGAGAGAAGGTATAGTAGGCGATTGAAATTTTTGAGGTTTCATAAGGTCCGGTAGAAGATATGTTGTTTCCATGAGTGGGTTTGGTCAAAGATGACTTCAAGATTTTTAAGTGAGATTTGGTATGATGCCAGAAATAACAAGAGAGAATAAAAAATTTCCTTAATTTAGAATTTTTTTTTTAATATTTTATAATCAATGATGATCAGTTAATTAAAACTAAAGCTGATTATATGTTTTGTATTATCAGGTAATGTTAAAGCTTTGTACCGTCGAGCAAAAGCATACACCAGTACGTGGAATGTTTCTGAAGCCAAAGCCGACTTGGAAGCATTGGAGAAAAATGATCCATCCATGAAAAATTACGTACAACAACAGCTTTTAATTCTATCTAAAATTGACAAAGAAAAAGACTCAGAATTGAAAGAAAACATAAAAGGAAAGCTGTTTAATTAATCCGAATATCTTGTTCAGTTTTTGAAGATTTCTTTTTTTTATAAATAATGAGGTGAGAAATAACTTATTTGTATTATGATGGACATATAATCAATCTGTAATTGGTACATTACTGAAAATGTATTAAAAAGTTCTGTATTTATTTTTTTTTTTAATTATAGGTTTTATTTTATCTGTTTTATCCCACTTAAATTATTTCACTAAGCTCTGAAATCATTGTTGTGCCAAATATAAGGTCTTTTACTCAAATTTTATGAATAGGGTATCATTGGATTCAGAATTTCATGAAGGTTAGCGAATCGTACCTTTGTTTTTGTTTTACTTTCAATAATAAATTAATTAGATCTAAAAACATTTCAATAGACTTCAAAACTGGGACAGTGACAAGTTAATGGATCAAGACAAGACAAATGTTTTTGAAGATTTTGACAAGGGCATCAAAGAACTGTTAATGTTCCTTTTGAAGAAATTTTAAAGGCCTAAATCCATTTATGAGATAACTTACATGAAATTGCTTACTTGGAACATAAGCTCATCTTAATTGTAGTGTTTCTACGCGATTAATATTGCAATGAAATGGTCCAATTAATTAGAGGAGAAAGTTATATGAATTCATCCTTATTAATAAATTTTTACAGAGTTCTGTATACAAACTAGAATTTGAATTAGTAACTAAAAATATTATAGAAAGCATATAGTTCACTGATTATTTTAAACCTAATTAAAAGTGAACATGTTTCCATGAAAATCGGAACAGTATTGCACCTCACCTATCAACATTATGATTTTTCAGAGGTCTTTTTTTGTTGCATATTTTATATTCGTTAATACTTCATTAAATCCAACGATTGAACCATCATTTTAAAGATTAGCTTCTTCTTCATTTCCGAAAAATAAGTGAATCTCCCAGAATAGACAAATACTTACTAAGAAATGATAAATTTATTTGTGCATAACTCAAAAAGTACACATTTTAGGGTTGATTAAGTCATGATATTTTGAAAGACTTATATATATATTTTTTTCCGTTGGTCTACCAGATCTTGTAGATCTTTTGCCGCCTTAATCAGTCTTCTCCATCTCTGCCTATTTCTTTGCAGTCATCTTCATGTGGCTATATTGCATCTTTGTTGATTCTATCTATCCATCTGGTTTTTGGTGTTTCATGTGGTCTTTTATCTTCTATTGAGACATTCGTTGTAGTGTAGAGGCTTTCAGATGGAGTACCCCGAGTGACATGCCCTGCCCATCTTAACCTCCTTGCCTTCATATCTTGTGATATTGATGGACCAATTTCTGTAAGCAGTTCTTTATTGTTCTTTCTCCTCCATGTGTTAGTGTTCTATCGTGTAAAGGATTTCTCTCTCAAATTTTTGAACATTTCTTTCTAGGGTAGTGGTTAGGGTCTCGCAGCCCTTTATCAGAACTGGCTTTATTATAACATTGTACTCCTTTAAGATTTCTGGAGATTTTTCTGGATTTTAATACCTTTGAAAGAGAGAAGAAAGCTCTGTTTGTACTTGTTATATGCTGGTCTATTTCTGACCATTGGTCATTTATTGTGGTTATTTTGGATTCAAAGTATTTTAATTTGTCTGTTATTGGAGTGGAATTTCTGCTTAATAGATTTAATTTTTAACTAGTCATATTTGATCCAAAATTTAATTATTTAATTAGTTAGGTAAGTGAAAGTTCTAAAATTGGGTGTTTCAAATAATACAGGTTTTAAAATGTTATAAAATATATATTTAAAAAATAAACACTTATTGTACAAAATAATTTTATGTCTGAATTATACTAATATCACTGTATAACTTATCAAAGAGTATAACTTTTTTTGAAAACACATGTGTATTTTTATATTGTTCCATTCCTATTTATATACTTAATTTTTTTTTTTATAGCAAATATCTTCTTTTTAACTTCTTTTACTTCCATTGCCTAAACAGACCATTACTGATCCCTGACCTCCTCTTAGCAACTTGATTACTTGAGGTTTTGTGAGTAAAGGGTTATCAGCCCTATGCCGAAGCCATCCGCGGTGGCCATCTAGGAAAGATGACCGTAGGATGTGTACTGTTATTGACCTTGATGTGTAGTGTACTGTAATTAGTGTATTTGTGTGAATGTCAGTATGCTGTTCCCCTAACCTGGAGAGCCAGTGGCTTTCTGCGGTTTTATGACCGGGCGATGGGGCCGCCACCTCCCTACGCCTTCTTATTTATAACTAACAGTCATATATTTTTTTTTTATATCTAACTAAATTTCCAATATTTACTATTTTCCTTTAGCTACTCCAAGATGGCAGCGGGTTTCAAGATCATCCAGAGTATGATCTGTTCAGCTATTTCCAGATTCACGAAAAGTTCTGAAAGTAACCTTGACTTGCATGAGTTGTTCAGGTTAGGTTTGATTATATTCCCACCTTTCTAATAAGTAAATAGGTAAAATAATAAAAATCTTATAGAAAATATCTCCTGCTAAAAAATAAGTTTTTATAGTTTATTTGTCTTCTACACAAAATGCTAAAAAGAAAATATATTCAAAATTAAATTGAAAATCTCACTTCTTTTCCATTGATAGATATGGAAAGAATCTTTATTTATTATTTCTCAAAGGTGTTTTTTTTTTTGTCGCTGTGCCATATCTTGGTCAATTCTTCATCAAATCCAAACCCCCATTTTGAAGATCTTCAGGTGGGGAAATAGTCACACTTCCCCCAAGTTAAAAGTTATGAAGGAAAAGAAACTTTATTTTTGAATAATTGTACCTATGATTATTTGAAAAGTAACTAAATTCCACAAGAAAAGAAAATCATCACATTCGAAGCATTATTAGCTGAGGGACAGGCTATTGTAATTCGTAAATATTTGGTTTAATACATGAATTAAGTTATTTTCTTTTTTCAAATTTTTCTCAGAAAAAGGATTACCGAGAAAAAATGATTCCTTCATCTTAAGATATGTGTAATTATTTAATTTATTTATCATTTTGTCAATTGTTCACTGACCAATATTGTTTGCTAGTTATTCGCACAGGCTAACTAGTAATAATAAAATGCATATAGAAGAATGTGTAATTAAAATAACCCTATTAAAATTAAATAGCCTATAAAAAAAATAAAAAAAATCACATTGTAAAATAAAATATCAACAAAATTTTGATTGTTACATAAAGCCATAACAAATAATTACTTTTATTTGGAGATAATAATAAAATAATCAGGTCAGAGAGAGTGATTATCAGATCAGAATCCTACAATCATATTTATTTAGATATTTTAATAACTATTAACGATGTTCATAATTGAGTACAATTCCCCGATTAAAATGGTAGGCAAGGCCACTGTCTTGAAGTGACTGTCTTTTTTCGGGCACATTTTAGGAAATCTATGAGTAGCCTGCTTTGAATGATCTGGAAAGCTACTGCCATCTTGGAATACCAGTATCAAAATTATTTCTTAGCATTTATTATTATTTCTGACTAAATAATAGTAGTTTTATTATTATTTTATGTTATTTATAAGTTTCCTCTTTCCATTTGTTCTAATTCAATTGCTTGGAACAAAGCTTTGAAATTTCCAGCTCCGAATCCCTGAAAATCGGAATAAAAAATTAATTATTTTATTACTTGATATCGCATTTCATAGTTATAAAAATTTATAACCATTCATAAAAAATACACAAACTTACACTGTGGTTATGTCTCTGAATTACTTCTAAAAACAGCGTAGGTCTGTTCTGCATGTTTTTAGTGAATATTTGTAATAGGTATCCATTTTCATCGTAGTCTATCAAAATTTTTAATTTCTGTAACATATATAAAACATATATTTTTCCTTTAGTAGTTTCATGACTTATTCATTCATAATTATACATCTATGCCAAGATAAAAGTTTAAGTGCTTGTATGCTTGAATGCCTTAATTTCATAAATTTCCCATCTTATTTAATACATTTTATTTTTGCATTAGTTAGCCATTTATTGAGGCTTTAAAACATCCCATAGGAAAATGCCCAGTACCTGTATCATTCTATAAATTTTGTTTGCATTCACTATAAATAAATTGCTAGGACAAACTATTTGGCGTATTGGAGTTGACTTGAGAGAAGATTGTTTTCTCCATAGTCAACTACATATATTCTCAGTTACCTGAAGTATATCTAGATCCTCTTCAATATGGAAGTTATCTGCTGCCAGTCTTTCCCTTAACATGTCATAATAAGAATCTGGAACTGTCATAAATTCCATTCCTCTGGATTTTAAGTTTTCGATCTAACAGAGCATTATAAACAAATTTAATTTTTTTTTAATATAAAAAAAAGTTATTGCAATTCAAAAAATAATGTTGACATACTGAATTTATAATATCTTTTGTATTTAGTGCAATATGTTGAACTCCGGAACCTCCGTAGTAGTCGACATATTCAGCTATTTGACTTTTTTTCTTTCCAGGTGCAGGTTCATTTATAGGTATCTATAATATTAAAAAAATTATAAAATATTTTAGAAATGTACAATGAAAGTTTAGTAATATTTAGTCATTGTTAAGTAATATTTTTAATTAAATTTAGTTAACTTATAAAAGGAAAATCTATTCTTAATTTCATTCCTCTAGCTAATTGAAAATATGAGATGCGGGAGTTCTTTTTAGTGTTTGTTCTTATTTTTATAAATTTACCTTGACAGTTTCATCCCAATTAGTCATAACAATGGAACGAAGGGCTGAATATTCTGTGTGGAGTTGTTTATCATCTACAGACCAAAATCTATGGAACTGTAACATTTTTTCATACCTAAAATAATACGTACATTATATATATATAGGTGTATGTGTATATATTTAAGTGATTACAAAGGTAGATAATTTAAATGTATATTTACCATTCTGCAACGGATTCCATACACAGATCAGGCTGGTTTCCAACTATGTGGTCAATAAAGTCGAGCATACCTGGTGGCCTGACAAAATAAAATTTGTTAATTTTTTCATGCTTATAAAATAAAAAAAACATTACTGATAAGATATTACATGGTGATACCCAAAAGCCTGTACATCCCCTTCGTTGACTTCAGGTAAGCCTATGACTCCATAGACAGGGAAACCTTACTGGGAATATGGAGTAGACCAGAAAACAATAAATCTGATAAAATTAATCCTAATGAACACGAAATCAAAAGAAAATTCCAAGGATTAATATACAAATCCTTCCAAGTAAAAACGGGACTCTGACAGGGAGAGACAGCCCATCACCAATACTATTTAACATAGTACTGGATAAAATCATGAGAGAGTTCTGAAAACAAAAAAGTGAGCTGCCTGGCCTTTGTGGACGATTCAGCCCTCCTGGCAGAAACAAAGAAAGAGACAATTAGTCAAATAAATACCCTGAAGGAAAAAGCAGGCCTACAATTTTACTATGAAAAGATGGAATTTATGACAACAAAGAAAAACTACGGCAAGAAAATAATAGAAATGAAATATGGACAAATAAAAGTAACAAAGAAATTAAAAATATCTAGGAGGGACAATATGCAATAACAGTTTGGAAAAAGAGAAAGTCACAAAATTGGAAAAATTAAGCCTCGCAACAGGAAATATTTATAATAAGAAGAACATATCTTCTGACAAAAATAAGATACTCCAACTCTATGATGAAATCCCTGTACGGGATGGAGAGAATATGTCTTCCTAGGCTAGAAAAATTACTGAAAATAGATAGAAGGATTCTAAGGAAAATTTATTGACCCAAGAAAGCTACAGGTTAAGACCCAACCAAAAAATCTATAAGGAGATAAGAGATCTAGAAACCAAAATAAGAATCAGAAGACTAAGGATTCTATGGAAGAAAGGACAAAGGGAGACTAAACAAGAAAGTCTTTGACAGAATCCGTGAATACAAGAGCATAAGAGGATATGTAAAACAAATGAGAGAGGAAACAGAAAAATTGAAAATAACAGACAAAGACTGTCTGAATAAGGGAGCAATACAGAAAAAAATTTAAAAAGAAATTAAAGTTCTTGTGGAAAATAAACAAAAACGGAAGGGTGCTGAGTGGTCGAAAGAGAGGAAGCAAAGGCGCACAGAAATGATAAGAAGAAACTAGGAGAAGAAAAAAAAGAAAATGTGAAAGGAAAAGTAATGATATTCCTGAGGCCTTAGAAGGCTGTTTCATGAACAAACAAACATTTTATCAATTCCTTGCAATTATAATAATTGCATTTTTTTTTTTAATGTTTTAGGGATTTCTATACTTAACAAATAAATCCATCAAATACTATTCATAACTCAATAGATATAACATACTTAATAGTACTTGCCGAGTACTAATAAGTTTCTAGGTGAAGAGTTGACCTGGTTTAGATCATATTCAGCCAACAAATTTTTACTTTCACTTACCTATATATGTAATACATAGTAAGGGTAAGTATTACGATCGTGAAAATTTTCGAATCTGAGTTTTAAACGGAAATATACATTTTGAGTTACCCTGAGTCCAAATAACCAAGTCCTGAAAAATGGTCTGTGTGTATGTGAACACTCCAGCTCGAAAACGAAAATTCGTACGAAACTAATATTACGTATTTAAGATAGATATATGCCTGAGATGTCCCAACAACATTTTCATTAAAATCGGCTAACCGGAAGTACCACTTTTTTTTCAACGGTGAAATACATTTTTACGATTTTCCCAAAAACGGCTCTAACGATTTTGATTAAGCTCGGTATATCATTGTATAATTAAGTGGTCTTTAATACCATTTAGGTCTTAACCCCGTTGATGCCACTTTCCAGCGCTTAAATGCCCAATTTTCATATACGTCTTTCTCTAAAGTACCTTTAATACGGTTCATTTCAAATAATTAACTATTTCTCATTATTAAAAGTTACGAAAAAAATGGTAAATATAATTTTTGAAAGAATATGATAATTTAATAAAGGAGAAAAAAATAAAAATGCTTATCCAGGTCGAAAATGAATCTTCGGAAATAACAGTCAAAAGGTATACATATAATATATCGTTGCACAGCGGATAATTTTAGTAAAAGTAATATCTAATATAGAAAGTTGTAGAAGGTAACGGAGAATGATGAAAAGAAAAAAAAAATCTAAAAACGAACATTATTTAATGTAAATGAGGTGTTTTCAAGGAAATTAAATGAAATTATCTTACTAAATGTATACTTAAAAAAAAAAAATTAAGTTTGAAAAAGTATTTAAAACCCACAGATTCAAGGCAATGACATTGTTTAAGATACTATTTCATTGTACTTGTGTGAAAGAAGAAGTGAAATATAAAAATATTTCATGGATACGTTTATAACCTTAAATATATTTACTGTAGTTTAATAACTCTAGATCTGATATTATATTTAAATAAGTAGGTATCTATCATCCGTTTATTCCGAAAAATCATCGTGTAACCTTGTAGAAAATTAAATTAGTGAATAATTTGATCAATTTTCTCTTTGCGGTGTAACAACAGAATCCACTTACAGTCAGTGTGACAACTTTTGACCTGTCTATGACATGCAAATCTCTCTATTCCATTTTAGTAAACTTTGCAATGGAAAATAACAGTTTAATAACTATTAGTCGTACAAACCATAATCAACGAATCGTACCATCTTTAATCAACCAGTGATATAATAAATAGGACTTTTGTTATTTTAATAGTACTTATGATTTATTAGCTGCAATCTTTTAGCTTTAGCTCAGTATCAAAATGCAATTAAAAAATTTTATAATAGCCCAACATGGCCAGAAAATAATTTCTGTTCAAAGTTGAGTAGTAAGTGAAAGTCGTGTGTTGCGCGCACCAGATTTTTTTCTGATAGGTTATAAATTAGAATCAAGAAGCTTACAATTTGCTGCTCAAGACGTCCATAGTTGTAACACTTCTGTAGCCTGGTAAAAATACACCCTTATATCCTGATCGTTCTACAAACGTGTGCACGGTATCTCCGAACTGAAAAATATTAATTCAGATAAGAAATTTTATATGTGATTATTACTAAAATTAATCATTATAATTTGATTAATTATATTATTTTACCGTTTTAATGGTAGCCATTCGTACTTTGCCATGCTCATCACTTTCCTCCCAAATTTCTTTCATTACAACTGCTCCCCTTTCTTTAGCTTTCTAAAGAATAAATTCGTAATAAGGTAAGGAGTTATTTATATATTACACAGAAAGAAATAATTTAAGGAAAATTTATTAAATGGTTACTTGAAGAATGCTCTCGATGTCTTCAACTGCGAATGCTACATCTTTTACTCCATCACCATGTGTAGCAATGTGTGAGGACATTTCTTTTTCTGACGGTTCGTAAGGCGAAGCAAAGACAAACCTTATCTGAGAAAACAGAACAAGAAAAAAAAATCAAGCATTTATGTATGTTTTTTATTTAAAAACTCATGAGTATTCTCCGAGCATCTCATTTATGGTAAATATTATTATTAAAGGCAAGATCGTAATAAACACTTTAATAAAGAAATTTAATTTGAGATGCTAGAAATAGAAATAGAAAATCATCTTTATTCTGGGACTAGATCCCTTGAGAATAACAATATTGTTTAAACTAATTGACAATAAATCTGGCCAGATGACCTATTATAATAAAGAGTAACTACAATCTAAGTAATAAAATGAGCATATACATAGTTTTGGAGGGTATATTAAGGAAAGCAGATGGGTACAACGGTTACAATATTATAATATTGGTAAAAAAAAAAAACAACATACTTATAACTAAATAAAATTGGAAAGAAATGCTAAATAAGTTTTATAGGTAATCAATTTTAGTGCTACAATGTGATAAAAAAATAAGTAAGAATAAAAGAAAATAACTAGAGTAAATAAATGATTTATATATGTTCCTTAAGACGTTTAAGTGAAAACATATGAAGATATTGTGAAAAAGTAGACAAGTATTGTGATCTACCTATGACGCAATAGATTAAGAGCAGTATATACATATATACATACCCACACAGAGAGGAGAGTGTAGAAGATAAATAAAAAATAAAATACTTCTAAATAAAATACACTCTTATGAATAGAAAAGATAAAAGGTAACAAAAAAGATACCTACTCACACTGCTCTGTGAGGGGTGATCGAAATTCTGTTTCATACTCAAAACAGAAGGAAAAAAAAATGATGTATAAAGAAAATTAAAACCTTTTTGCACAATATTTACTTAGCCAGCACCTGATTGAATTGTGAAGAGGAATTGGAATAAGAGGGTTTTAAATGTGGATAAGGATGGTGCATGGCGGATTTTTAATGGTATGGAATTCAAGAATTCAGTGGAACGGATAACAAAGGAATGTTTAAATGAGGTAGATTTGTGTAAAGGTCAGAAGGACATGATTCCTCCGGAACTATCGGTCCTGCGTTTTTAAGCCCAAAAACGTACTATTTTCGAGATAACGCATGGCATAGGGTTCGCATCCACACACACTTACGTTAATTGTAGTAGTTTCATTGAATAAATGTCTCATTTCCTCGACTTTGATGTCGCTATGATCGAGAGAGGAGGAGTTTATATTATTTATCGATGGTGTTTTTGATCGGCAAGCCGCATCATCGTTAATTCTTCACCAAATCTTAAGATTGAGCCACCAATGTCGAAGGCTTCCTTCTTCTTCAGGCGGGCTAAATAGTCCAATCATCCCGAAAATTCAGGCAAACAAGTTATGAAAGAAATCAAACTTTATTTGCAATTAACTAAAAAATTAACCACTCTGGGTTATGCCCATGATTATATAAAGGATTACTAAATTACCTACAAAAGGAAAAAAAAATCATCGAAATCGGACAATTTTTAGCAAAGATACAGCTTATTGAAATTTGTAACCATGTCGGTTCCAAACAAAAATGAAGATTTAAATTACTTTGTGTTTCCTTTGTCGATTATATTTATCGATGAAGTAACAATTGATTTCGTTATCTTTTGATAAGTTGCATTATTTTATTTTCTTATCAATTTGGCATTTGATAACAATATACTGTGCAAATTTTTCGTACGGGCCTACTAGTTAATAATCTCAGCTAATAATAATAAAGAAGAAATTATTTACAATAAATTATTTTTAAAATACATTCTAAGATAGTTGAAGAAGTAACATTTACTGGTGGTATAAATTATTCACCTTGTTCTGCTGAACGACATGTGCTGCATAAGTTCTGAAACCGGTCTCTAATCCTTTGTATGCTATTTCTTCGAAACCCATTCGTGTACAATAGTAACTACTGGCCTGTTTTGGATATCATATTAGTATTAAACATATTAAATATATATCATATATTTTAATTGAGTTGAGTAAATGTATCAATACCTGCTTAGCATTTCCGACCCAAAACACTATGTGGTCAAAACATTCAAATTTTCCTGCTTCTGGCTGAAATAAAAAGAAGATAAAAACATAGAAATGTATTTTTAAAACATATTATAATGAAAATAATATACAAAAAATTCTATAAAAATAGAATTTTAATTAATTATATTACAAATTGTTATTTGTTATTTTTCTGTGACAAAACTACTCAGTTCGCGCCTCTTGTCCCGGAACTTAAAAATTAGAATCTATAAAACAATTATCTTGCCTACAGTTCATTATGGATGCGAAACTTGGCCGCTTACATTAAGGGATGAGCAGCGTCTTAAGGTTTTTGAAAATAAAGTATTGCGTAGAATATTCGGACCGAAGAAGGATGAGTTAACCGGAGAGTTCAGACGGTTACACAACGCCGAATTGCGTGAGCTGTATCCGGGTAATATAATTGAGGTAATTTCATTGCGGCGAATCAAATGGGCTTGTAAAGTTGTTGGGCTTAGTAACGAGAGAATTCCTAAAAGGTTAATATTTGCGGTGCCGAATGGTAAGCGTCCGAGGGGTAGACCGAAGCGAAGGTGGGAAGATTGTATTAAAGCCGATCTGAAGGGACTGGGTTTGGACGGCGGACGGTGGAGGGAGGTGTGTAACAAGCGATTGGTGGTGTCGGCATCGAACCTTCGGGTTCGCTAAGCCTTATTATTATTATTACAAATTGTTATTAATCAAAATATCTATCTGGTGTCTAAGATAATAGTCCGTGGTACAAACCCCTTTTTTATCAAATTATTAACATCCGCCAGAAATTAAGTAAATAGCTTCATCTCATCGTAAACTACAACTATTTTATTTACGAAAATTCTCGGAATTGAGGCAATTTGAATCTTGAAATTGGCAAACTTTGTCTATCTAATTAGGTACTAAAAACTCGTTAATACCCATTTGCTTTCCACTTGAATCGTAAGATAATTTGAGCACAAAATTGAGAAGAAAAAGTTGTCAAAACAACGAGGTTATGTAGGAAAAACGGCTCAATATTTTTGTAGGCCATTATTTTTATCGATTTTGTGGTCAAATTATCTCACGATCCTATGGATATTTACGAGTTTTTAGTATCTAATTAAATAGACAAAGTTTGTCTATCTCCAGATTGAAAACGCCCAAATTCCGCGAATGTTCGTAAATATAATAGTTGTAGGTTACGATGAGATGAAACTATTCACGAAGTTTTAGACGGATGTTAATAATTTGATAAAAAGGAGTCCGTACTACGGACTACAAATCTTATGAGTATATTTTCAAGAGTGCAGTTTAAAATTTAAAAACGTAATAATTAGAGTGCTACCAGTGGGTAGTTTCTCAACAAGCGTGTTTCATGTAATAATATTTCTCTGTACAAATTTACTAGATGTATTCATACTAATACAGTTGTAAATATCATAATAAAAGTTTAAAAAAAAAAAACGTAATAATTTTAATTATAATTTATAATTTTAAATTTATTATATTTATTAAAAGTTACTATTATAGAGTTTAAAAGTAATAAACTTATGTCCAGAAAATGTTTATGTAATTAAGAAGATTTTTCTAAATTTCTGTCATTTTTAAATACAATAGTTTTACATGGGTAATAGTTCTGCAATATAAACTTCCAAGAAGATTTATTTTATTACGTCTGAGTAATGTAAAGTCAAATATAAAAAAACACCGAAAAAAGTTTCGCGATTTGAATTTACGTCATCATTAGTCATCTATGGAAAATACCTGCTAAACTTGTTTTGTGACATCGAGGTTAGTTAATATCACGATGTTTGTTGAAGTATTGTGTATTTATGTTTACAAATTTGTTTAAGCGATTTTTTTGTATCTGCTTTATTTAATAATATTATTCAACAAAAATGACTAAATGAATGTATTTTTTTATATAAGTAAATGTTTATATATTAGATTGAAGTTTATCACTTAAGCTTATCATTTATTCTACAGGTAAGTATAAAATACTCATACTTACGTAGGCTTTTAAAATTGGTTTGTTTATCACAACACTTAAATATTTTAGAAATTGTTTCAGTGTTATTAATACTGTCTTAAATTTGTTTTGTTGAAATTTAAAATAAGCTGATTTCTATGCAAAATGGAATAATTTCATTTATTAAAATTGTTCTCGGTAAACAATTTATTTACAGTATGATTTTGAGTCTTGTGCACACCCATCAAATTGAGACACTTAAACAGTAGTACTCTTTATTATTATTCTAAATACAATTATTTGAATCTAAATTTAATATAAATATATAAAATTTAATTATTATCTAATAGTTACCTTTTCTCCTTTATCCGTGTAAGTAGTCTGAAACACAATTTAGAAAGAATTATTTCCTTCTATAAAAAATGTGTAATCTTATATATTATTTATAAAAGGTGTTTTTTTTTTTGTTTTGTTTTTTGTTGGCACGCCATAACTTTGTCAATCGTTCATCAAACCCAATGATTTACCACTCATTTTGAAGATATTCTCCTCCTACACATGCGAAAAATCCTATCCTCCATAAATTTCCGAGGAAAAAGTTATGAAGGAAAAGAAACTTTATTTGTGAATAACTCAAACCGTATGATTTTTTTTCATGATAGTACCCATGATTATTGGAATAATTACTAAATTATCTTAAAAAATCGGACAATTATTTACAAAGATACAGTCCACTAATTTTGGTATACTTAATAATTTCTTCATTTTTGAAGATACTGCATTTATTATTCTGCTACACTTTTTTTTCTTAGCTGATATATTAACTATATTATTTCTTAAAGGAATTTGTTTGTTCTTACATTTTATATTTTTTTAATAATTTAGTAAATCCCATGATTGAGGCTTTTTTTGGCTTTATTACCTTTATTATCATTCCAGTCAGCGTTTAAAAATAGTTCTTAGCAAAGCAATTTCGACAAATATTTTGTTCTATTATGTTAAATGGAATATTGTAATCGACCAAGGAAAAACAATTAATTCCTCCCTCACATAATACATAGGACCTACATATTTCTATATTATTTTGCTATTCATTTACTAAAAAAAATTCTATTTTCTATTTTCTATAGAATTCTAAAATTCTATTTTCCATCTTGAGATTAAAAAAAAAAATACTGGTCAGTGGCGGGTTTGCGGAAGTAGGAAATGAGAAAATTTCTCCTTCCAAAATAACAATTTAAAATCTGGTATGTCCACTGACACGACTTCCCTACCTATTTCAGTAATGTTTTTATATCTATACATATGTCCATAAAAAAAAAAAAAAATAAAAAAAAAATAAAAAAAATAAATAAAAAAAATAAAATAAAAAAAAAAATAATAATAATAATAATAATTGAATTAGATTTATTTTCCTGAAGAGTACGATTTATTTGATAAACTAAAGCAATGTAAACCTGGTTAAGATAGATCAGTGTAAAAATTTCAATACCCTCTAATATTGCTCATCAAAAACTTTTTGACATAGCTTAATTTTGCCAAACAATAATTTCTGTTAAAATTAGAGGAAATAGTGAAGCTTGTGTGATGCGAGCAACAGATTTTCTTACTTTCACTTAGTTATCTTTTTTTTTCTCATTCATCCCTTTCTGAAACCAGGATATGTATTCGTAATTAGGTTTTCGGAATCAGAGGGCTCTGAGACGTATAGATCCGTCGAAAACCGAATATCGGGAATTTGACCCGATCGCAATACTTTCCTTACCTAGCATAAGTAGGAAAGTAGTAAATTAAAATAGAAAATAGAATAAGCTGTATCATCGTTAATACTGGTTCGATTTCGATGATTTATTTTTTGGTTTTGTTGATCATTTAATTACCTTTCAAAAGTTTTATTATAAATTTTACCATAGAATATATACTTAGCTAGTTAGGCCCCAAATCATTTTTCTTTTCTTTATAACTTGTTTTCCTGATTTTTTTCGGGAATTCAGTCCAAATACGAAAATTGAAAGGATAATTATTAGAACATTATAGGAAAGTTTCATCAAAATAGCTAGAGCCGCTTTCGCGCTACAGTCTATAGAAAAACATGTTTTTCATTTATTGCGCAGCAGCTATTGCGCATGGAGCATCCAATTTGTGTCATAGCCATCAGTAGCCAAAACCCTACAAAACAAAAAAAGAAGCAACAAAATCGGTTCACTACTGCTTCAGAAAATCTTTTCACAGACAGACAGACCAATGGCTAAACATGTGTTTTTCGAAATCAGGGGGTTCTGAAACGTATAGATCCGTCGAAAATCGCATATTAGAAATTCGACCCGATCGCAATACTTTCCTTACCTAGTATAGGTAGGAAAGTAATAGATTAAAATAGAATAAGGTGTATCATTGCTAATACTGGTTCGATTTCGATGATTTTTTTTTGTATAGGTAAGAAAGTAAAAAGGTATGGTTGTTCAAAATAACTTAAAAATATTGATTCACGTTGTGAAAAGTCGATCTTTGGAGAGCAATAAATCAAATAAATTAATTATCTTGACTATATTTACGATTTATTTTTTGTAAATTAAATAGGAAAAATCTAGAACATTGTTGTGTTGCATGCAGTTTTTCCCATGGTACTAGAAAGTTGTATCTGTGCGACAATTTTACGTCTTAATTTTGTTTTAATAACGAATCCATATATTTTGAGATAGGGAAAGCATTTAAAAGAAGTTATTAGAGCTGTCACTCTACCGAGAAAGAGCTTTGTAATAGTTGAATCCTTTTAGGGGTTTCACAGTCTGCTATCTGGGGATATGGTAAGATTATTTCGCGTCTGGGTACTATACTTGACGTCCTGGATAAGGCTGTAAAAGGAAAAAAAATGCAAGAAATGGCACATTTTAAAAATAATTCCTGCGAAACCTATTTTACACCATTCGTAACCTCAATAATCTAGTATGTGGTACGTGTTTCGGATCAGACGTTGAGAAACAGACCACAGAAGATTTAGTTGGCTTCTAGAGTTCCTAAAAAACTAACTCCTAAAAAAACACATTTTACTAGAATCACAAAATTGCTGAATATGTACTCACAAGTGAACATCAACTTTGTAATAAGTGATAGTGTTGCTTAATCTTATTATTTTAGTTGAGTTTTGTCTTATTCTTATATGAGTTCAAATGTAATATGCGCTCTTATGCACAACGCTACAAAAAAGCAACTTTATAGTTAGGTCTTCTTTTTGTTCAATGATAGTTTGGAGGAAAATTATCATGGAAGAAAATTTGTTTTTGTGATTTATTTTAATACGAAATCCATAAACAGATATTGTACCCATTCAAGGATGCATATGACATTGTACCAGTATAATGCACCAGGCTTCAAGGACCATTTAAACATCATTACATTTTCTTCCAAAGGAATTACCGTTAGAAAGAATAGATAAATAAAAAGCTTCACTGTAATAGGAGAAGAAGGTGTCGGAAGAAAAATTGAAACAACTCCAATATCACCGATTTTAATAAATCCTTTACATTATTTGCGGGTTTTTTTTTCACATCCATTCTGGATAGGGGAAACCTGATATATGAGATAATTTGATTAAAATAATTACGAGTACGCGTCTCGGTGACGAGGGGCTTTGTTAACTCTCCCCCTGGCCTGAGAAAATCCCTGTATAACCTAAAAGGGGAGAACAAAAAAAAACCTAAAGTGTGTGCTTTAGACCACACGATAGAAGTTAAAAGATAAGACAAGATTAATAATGTGAAATATTAATTATAAATAATAACCCATTACAGAGAGGATGAAATGCTGAACAATTCCCTCGCTTAGAGTATGCAGGTTCAATTTTTAATTACTGAGATATTTTAATCCATATCTTCAATAAAACTCGTTATTTGGTTTTCGAAACTATTTTTTTCTTTTCCTCCTCTTTAACACGGAATCAAGTTAAGATACAATTTTGAATAATAGAGAGGATGTAATTCTGAAGAATTCCCTTGCTTACATTATGCAGGTCCCATTTTTAGTTTTTGAAATATTTTAATCCATACACAAAAATAGTTCAATTAGTCGACTCCAGCCGACTTTACCCGAGCGTTACACATCGGAGATCTGACGGCTCAGTATAATTGACTCTTAAAAAAAAAAGTGCAAAACGCATCTAAAGATTTTTTTAATTAATAAAGAAAAAAAAAAAGCCATCCTGGAACATCTCTTCCCTTATTAATATTGGTATAGGTTTTTAATTCAAAATCAAAGAGTAAAATGTTTTACTACAATTTTCAAAATTTGAAGTAGGTACTAAAAAATATAAAAGAATTATCTCGTAAAGTATTATTGTTCGTGTAATTACATTTAATAGGACTTCAGGAATCATTTAAACACAATTTCATGTATGTAGTTAGTATCTTTCTTTTTTAAAAAAAAAAAAAAAAATTATCGTTATATACATTAAAAAAAAGAGCTTTCGGGCTGAAGTATCCGCTCCCCCCCCAAAAAAAAAAACACAAAAAAATTAATTAACTCCTGGATCCGCTAGTGCTCTCTTCTGTCTGCTCCATATCAACAACATGGATGTTCCTGGTTTAAAAATTAATCATGATATATTTTTAGCATATTTTCTTTATAAAGTTAAACATTCTTCGAATAATTTATAAAAATACAAACGTAATTAAAAGCATAATAATGACATATTTTCAATCATGTAAGATTTTCATTACGCTGAATTTGGCTTAGAGCACAGGGGGCGGCTTTTGGGACGAAGCCCTCCCACAAAATGATAAAATGTAACCAAATGTTTAACAGTACAAAATATTAAAAAAATATCTCTTAATGTATTATTATTTGTGTAAGTACATTTAATAATAATTCAAGAACCACTTAAACACCATGTCATATATGGAATTAGTGTCTTTATTTTTTTTCCTAAGTAATTATCGTTATATATATATATATATATATATATATATATATATATGAAAAAATAAAAGGTTTCTGGCTAAAGCCCTCTTCAAAATTAAATCCCGCTAGTGACTTAGAGTAATGATTTAATCAAGAGTGCCCAGAAGGAGGTTTGATCAAATTTTTTAAGGGGGGCATATTTTTACCGAGTATTGAATGTGTGGAAAAAAAGTTTCAAACCAGTGGACAAGGTGAAAATATGGAACGACTTCAGCAAATATAATTGTATATGATCTATGGTGTTTAAATTCTTCTTTATTTTGTATTGTTTTTCGAAAAAAGAAGCAATAAAGTATTATTAGAATTTAATTTAATTTTGGAAGGACTTTAGCCCGAAGAATTTTTTTTTCATATGTCACGATAATTAGTTTGAAAAAAAAAAAGAAAGAAAGAAATGAACTACCTATATGAAAAGTGATTCTTTCTAATTTCTAAGTTTAAGTGATTCTTGAAGTCCTATTAAATGTAATTACACGAATAATAATACTTTAAGAGATAGTTTTTAATATTTTTTTCTATAAAACATGGTTATATTTTACCGTTTTGGGGAGGCTTCGCCCCGAAAAGCTCTCCCCCTCCCCCGTAAATTCGCTTGTGAAGGAACTGAGGGAAGGTGTTCGTGTTGCATCAACCTTAAAAGGAAATGGCATCCCTGGATTTAATGTTGTTTATTGATTTCAAGAGAGGTTCTAGATGTATTGAAGATATTTTCAATCGATCAATAATTATAAGAATCGATAGATTGAAATTTAATCACCCATAATTCCATACCCCCTCAACCTAAAAATTATCAGTATCTTGAATCTTCTGCGTTCATCGTACCTGAATTAAACTCTACAGGTATGTTAAATTTAAAAAAAAAATGCTTAGAATGTAATTTAGAGAAAAAAAAATACAACGTGAAAATCAAGTAATTAGATGGCTGGGCATAAAAAATAAATAAAATGTATCGAGTTTTATTACTGCATACTTACCATTTCGATAATCACCGGTGGAAGTTTTACGTAAAATAATTCGATTGCGTAACTTTGCTGTTATATATATATCTATAGCAGTCTGTTAGGAGCATTCTCATTGGCCAGATCTGGGGGCCGGTTGATGGGCTTGTCCTGGAATGTGGATCTCAGAACTGGGTAAACAACACCGATACTTGATTTGACATCACAGTGTGGCGTGATCACTGTTTTGTACTTTTTTTATACAGAGTCAACTGTTTTAAATATAGAATCAAGTCGATGATATTCATGACTGAAAACGCCTCTATTAATCCAGTTGATCTTAAATAAGACATATAAAGAAAAACAGTGGTGTAACTAATTTACCTTAGGGAAGCAGTGTACTGGAAAACTTTTTAACCGAATAAAATTTTTTTATTTTATTCATTAATATTTAAAACTGTATTATAAAAAAATACAAATGATAAATGTGCACACAGTAATAATACAATCACACGAAAACGCTTGTTGAGAAACTACCCATTGGTAGCACTCTAATAATATATTTACATAAGTAGATCACGAGGCCATCTTCTTTTCAGACGCCTCGCAGGGTTATCAGGGATCGAGGAGGAAGCAAGGTTTGAAACGAAAGGCTTCGGATGGTTCTTTTTTTTTTTTAATCTTTATTGAGAAATAATACATTATGCCACACTTAAGAGCACTGAGTACTAAGGCTGAGTGTGGCACATTCATATCATATATTCAATACAATAAAAAATAAAAAAGATCTCGAGGCCACTTTGTTGTGGAAGGATAGGAATCTGGATTGGGCCAAATCGGAAACATATAGACCATTAAGGTTTTTATGAATGATTTTATTTGTGACAAAGTAAGAATTGTTGAGGATTTTTCGAAGGATTTTGGATTGTAAGGATTGGATACGAGAGGAATTCGATGGTTTAGTGGAGCCCCAAAGCTCAATTCCGTAAGTCCAAATAGGTCTTATTATTGTAATATATAAATATATGAGTCGTTTGTAATTGATTGAAAGCTTAGAGCGTTTGTCTAGTAATTGCTGGAGTAGTCGGAAACGTCGAGCGGATTCTTGTCGTTTCAGTCTTGTATGAGGATTCCATGTGAGTCGTTTGTCTAGATGGAGTCCTAGGTAGTAACGGATTTGTTCAACTGGGATAAGTGGGGAATTACTAAAGGATACTGTAGGACAGGAGAACATGGGTTTGCGACGCAGGGTAAAGGTAATTTGATGGGATTTATTGGAGTTTATTTTAATTCTCCAGTTTTTACGCCATTTTTCAAGGTTTGTGATATGAGATTGGGGAGTTAGGGATGCAGTTGATGAAATTATTAACAGATAGGATACATGTGTCATCAGCATATGTGGTGATGACAGTGTCAGGATAGGTTGGGATGTCAGCTGTATAACTGAATAAACTAAAACAAAAAAAAAAAAAAAAAAAAAAATTAAGGAATTATAAGGGGAATGCGTGTACTTTGCCCCACAATGTACCTTGGGCCATCCTAAGAATAAGAAATTGCACTGGGGAAATTGAAGATTTGTGGCAAAATTGAGTAGGCTGCACTACCAGAACATTTTGTAGCTGATTTTGATGCCCCTGGTCCGGCTCAGATTTTTGATAATATCTATAATAGTGATAACGATTACTTGATATAATAATTTTTCATTAAAAAAGTACATAAACATAGTCAAAATTATTAGTCGATTGAAGCATAGTAATCTCTCTAGCTTCTTTTGAAGGCAAGTTTTAAGGAAAATACTTAAGACCTTTGATGAGAAATTAAATTTAAAATATAAAGTCATATCATAGTAGCTTGGGCTACTTTTATAATGTACATTGGGCCGGTACATTAATTACAAGGTACATTAATATAATTTCAAAATATGTCTTTTGTGAGAATAAATCCTTGATTCATGGTTTTTACTGAAGAAGTTCATAAAAGATTATTTTCAAGCACAGGCGGATCTGGGGAGAGGGGGCTTTTGGGCTGTAGCCCTCCCCGCTCCCTCTCCTCCCTCCCCTCCCCCCTCCAAATAGTAAAATATAACCATGTTTTATGAAAACAATTACCTCTAAAAGTATTATTGTTAGTCTAATTACATTTAATAGGACTTCAAGAATCACTTGAACACCATAGGTACTTATAGGTTCATATAGGTACTTAGTTTCTTTCTTTCTTTCGAAGTAATTATGGTAATACATATATTTAAAAAAAATTCTTTCGGGCTGTAGCCCCTCCCAAAATTAAATCCTGGATTAGTGATCGCAGGCGTAATATAATATGGGCTTTCTACGAATGACCTGAAAAATTTAGCTTACCAGAGTTGATAAGTGATACTTATTATTAAATAATAATTATAAATCGTATTACGACAAATATTGACGAAGATACAAGGTATGGAAATTTGTACTTTTCCTTCTCGTGTCTTCCAAAGCAAGGCACGTTCCCAATATAGGGTAGCCCTCGGTACAACCACGGCAATTGTATTTTGGGTCAATTAAAAAAAAAAAAAAATGAGTTTTTTTCATAGTCGAAATCTGATGATAAAATAATTTAAAAACTAACATAGTATCTTCAAAGCATAGCAAATAAAATTCTGTTTTGATATTTTAAAAAATATTGTTATTTTAGAAGTTATAGAGCATTGAAAATAAATGGCCATTGTTATTTATGGTAGTAAAGATCATAATCGGGACTGGTTTCGTCAAGCTTTTATTTCAAAATAACTCTTTAAATATTTATAATATAAATTATAAATTATCATAAAAATTTAGCATGGCTAAATTTACTAAAAGCTTAAAATGTTATGAAGACTTAATCGTCGAATCGAAACTTATGGATACCTTCGAACAATCACTTAAATGATATCATGTTCATGTTAAGATAAATGCCATGTTTCAAGCACAAATATTGATACAAATTGCCAAGGTATTTTGTGATATTCTGTAAAATTAAATACATATATAAAATACCGTGTTTTAAGCTTTATAATTTTATTGCGAGTTTATATCTATCATTATGTAAGAACGTTAAGTAAGTATAAGCAATGTGCTTATAATTCTAGTAATTTTTAATCGTGTGTACAAATTTATCATAAAATCTCTAGCAAACAAATGGAGAGTGAATTAGATTGAGTCATTAGATTTCCGATGTGTAACGCCCGAGTAAAGTCATCTTGAGTCGATTAACTGAAGTGTTTTGGGATTTGGATTAAAATATCTCAGAAATTAAAAATGGGACCTGCATACTGTAAGCGAAGGAATTGTTCAGAATGTCATCCTGTTTATAATGAGCTATTATTTATAATTTATATTTCATATATTATTAATCTCTCCTTGTTGATGTTTTCACTTCTATTGCGTTGTCTAAAACACACAACTTAGTTTTTTTTAATTTGATTATTTTAGAGAGGAGGTTAATAACCTTTTGAAAGATAATGTTTTTATTATCATAGTAATCATCCCAAACCATGAAGGTGTATGATAGCCTTTTAAGGCTACAAGGCTTCGCCAGTAAAGTTGACAGACCAGCACAGAAAAGATCTGTAAAGATTGACATTGGTACTTTTCCTTTTTGAGTCTTCCAAAGCACGTGTCGTGACGATCCATGTCTTCATAGTTGCAAGTTGATCCACGGGGGAAGGGGAGGGCTGTGGGGCTGAAGCACCTCCCTCTAAAATGGTAAAATATAACCATGTTTTTGGAAAAAAATATTTAAAAATTATCTCTTAAAGTATTATTGTTCGTTTAATTACATTTTAAAGGATTTTTATAATCACTAAAACCCCATTTCATATACATAGTTTTTGAGTCTTCCAAAGCCCGTGTCGTGACGATCCATGTCTTCATAGTTGCAAGTTGATCCACGGGGGAAGGGGAGGGCTGTGGGGCTGAAGCACCTCCCTCTAAAATGGTAAAATATAACTATGTTTTTGGAAAAAAATATTTAAAAATTATCTCTTAAAGTATTATTGTTCGTGTAATTACATTTTAAAGGATATTTTAATCACTTAAACCCCATTTCATATACATAGTTAGTTTCTTTCTTTTTCCAAAGTAATCATCGTTATTTTTATGAAAAAAAATCTTTCGGGCTGGAGCCCTCCCCCCCAAAAAAAAAATTAAATCCTGGATCCGCTAGTGCAGAGTTGGCACGGATTTGCTTTCTTTATCCCTGTTTTGTTTAAAGGGGTCTTTTCTTGGAAGGTTTGAGAAATTCATATCTATATGATAATAATAATAATAGACGTTTATTTAAATTTAAAAAACGTTTCAGGATACTCCTAAAAACTAATTTATCGGCAGGAAATTTAATAAAAGCCTTGAATACCTGGGCGATTCCTGCTGTTACATATTCCTTTGGAATAATAAAATGGTGCGACACGGATTTGGAAAAGATGGACCGCTTATTAAGGACGGAAATGATAAAATCACGGCAACGTCACCCAAATTCTTCAGTTCCAAGACTATATTTGCCTAGAAAACATGGAGGTAGAAGACTTATTAGTTTAATGAAGGCCTGCCGTGAACAAGAAGCCAGGCTTAGAAGCTACTTCCTGAATAGTCGACCGTTGGTGCCCTTGACTGCAACTATACAGCACTTAATATGCTTCGGCAAGGACCAAGGACCAATGTCCACTGAGGAGGGCGTCACAGAATCATGGAAGTGTAAATCACTCCATGGAAGATTCTACTATTCCCTGAAAACACCTGGCACAAATTTAGAAGCATCAGTCCGTTGGTTGACTACAGGAAAATGTTCCCAGAGACAGAGGGATTCCTTCTGGCAATACAAGAACAGGTAATGGCGACATCATCCTACAGGAAGTATAGAATGCAACAAGTGGTGTTGTTGGGAACAGCAAGTATAGTCAGGAAGTTCACAATATTAAATAATTTTGAAAATATATAAATGTAATTTTTGGCTGACCTAATAGGTCCCCAACTATTACATATTATAAACACCAATGTATATGTGGAAAATAAATTGATAATAATACTTTATTTATTCTGGGATGAGTCCCTTTAGAACAATACAGAAAGAAATAAGTATGTGCTACGGAGCCTTAGAGATACATAAATAAAAATACAGAACAATTAAACAGTCATATTA